CTAAACCTCTGTAAATCAAATAATCTAAATTGTTCTTGTCTACCTATGTAAGGGTGACATGTGTCACCTATTACAAGCTAGCTATTATTTAATGGCCTCATGTATGCACTTTTCAGACAGAATAAGATTTACATTTCACACCTTACGTTATTGTTCATCTTCTTCCTCTAGCTTCTTGATTCTCACATGGATTCTTGAGTTTCTACAATTAGTACACGGAATTCTACTTTCTCATCTATAAATAAAGGTCAAATGAGGCTACATAAGGGCTGAGTCAGACCAATGTTTACGCTTTTCTAAATCTTTAATCAATTTAGGCCAAATTTTGTAGTGCTTTTTTATTTTTTTCTTACTAGATTAAATGTATAAGTACATGAATAATTTCATCCTTATTTTATTTTAGCGTTTGTTTTTGTTTTTTTTCATCGATAAAGAATGATTGTATGGACTATTAGATTATTGATTATTGATAAATAAATAATTTGAAAAAAAAAGAGATAAATCTCACTCCTCACAATTGAAGATAATTATTTACAAGGGCGAAAATGACCTTAGTTCTTAGGGGAGCAAACTCATAATATATATACAAACTTTTCATTCTATATTTTATATATTCTAATAATGTTGCATTACAATTTCATTTCGAATAAAATCAAATACATCATTCTAAATATATGACAGTAAACAATCACGACACCAATCATCGCTTATTTTACTGTGTAATCGATGTTTAATAATTATCAAAAAACATGAAGTCTACCTCGTATGTTTGTAGTTTTAGTTATTTACTTTAAATTTTAATGTGATTTAAACCAACTATACTATATAATCAAATATAGTACCTCAACATTTATAAATTTAGGCTTTGTTTGGGACAACTTTCTTACTGTTTTTAAAGAAACTTTCTAGTATAAAAATATATATTTTTGTACTGAAAAACCGCTTTAAAAAGGGATAAGAAAGCCGTCTCAAAAAAAAAACCTTAATCTAATCATATAATGAATTCAGGTGCAAATATGGATGATTCTCAATTCCATTATATCAAAGAGACAAATCTGAGTATAAGTTACAGATTTTGCAAAGAATCAAAACAGAAGTTTTGAAGTAAATCTAAGAGTTTTGAAGTCCATTCAAAATACTTCAAGGCATTGTTCTTTTTTTTTTTTCCTCAACGAAGCTCCTTGATTTCCGTCTTTCAAAATCTAAACCTTAGCGAAGAATATGGAGAGTAGGATTGTAGGAATTACAGAAATTTGATGTCCACGAGCAAAGAATTAAAACCCAATATTATGATTAAATATTGATAGCTGTCTAGTATCGTGATGACAATTGCTAGTGGCGGTCGTCAATGCTGACAACAAGAAAAATACAAAGAATTCTTAAGTTCTCTTAACTGTTGAACCTCACTCTTTCTATAAAAAACGGAGCTCTATTTATAAGCTCTTTTTATATGGTCATTTTATAAATTTTGCTAGGATCTAAAACACTTCATTATACAATTCATATTGATTCCCTTGATTATAGATCAAACACTTGAATGCCTTAATTATGTTAGAATCAAGTGATATTAGGCTCGTTAGATTTGTATCATCGAGCCACTCGATTTTTTTAAGTATATTATAATTGGAGGACTTTTGGTCTATCAATTTATGTTCAAAAGTTTTAAAAAATATTCAAGTGTTTGATTTGAGTTCATTTGGAGTCAGATTAGATCCTTTATAGCCTCGATAGATTCACCTTGTCTAGGTGTTCAATTCAACTATAAGTTTATTGAAATAGGAGTTTGAATGATCACGAAATAAATTCTGTAAATTTTTAATTTGAACATTATCTCGATATTCTTGCCAATCATATGAATTTTTTGAAGTCCTAACAGTCATAATTAGATTTATCTTGCCACAAAAAAACCATATTGATTATAAATTTATTGAAATTGATTTAGATGACTTCTAAAATAACTATTGAAGCTTTCAAAATTTAATTTGGGTAATTATTTTATCTAAAATATTAATGAAAATTCGAGCTTGCTTCAATTAATTTTGTGAGCCATAACAATAATTTCATAAAATATACTAATAAAACTAAAGAATAAAAAGAAAATTATGATAACTATTTTTATACATTACTAATAAATCAATATATTTTAAAAAATTATTATATAATTATTTTATTTTAATCCCAATAAAGTGCTCCAAGCCCATGTAAGTATGTAAAAATGCCCGAAGAGTACTCACTACGTAAGAGGCCCTCTGATTTTCTTAAATAGTAATTTATAAACTCCTAAACGTTTAAACATTACATAATTAAGTACAATTAGCATAATTTGATACAGAGGATCCGTGGCGCAATGGTAGCGCGTCTGACTCCAGATCAGAAGGTTGCGTGTTCGATTCACGTCGGGTTCAAAATCCCGTTAATTCATGGCCTCGTTTAATTTTTTAATTCTAAAAATAGAACAGACCTTACAAATTCACCTACTGTATCCATCGAATTTTTATTGCGTCCGGTAAAAATACCGAGTGTATCCAGCACTTTAGTAAGTAGCGTTTTGTTATTGATTTCCGAATGCATTCGGTAACCTGACGGAATCATTACTCGTATCCATCACCCTCCTGCAAGTAGAAAAGCGGCATGGTTGTGAAGTTGTTGATTGGGATTAATAGTTATTAAGGCCTCGTTTGATTAGGCTTTTTTTCTCCGTTTCCGTATGAATACGTCGAAATCAATTAGTATTTACTATTTGGAATCAAAGCTTAATAATAATTCCTTTTTAATAAACATCGTTTTTTCGGCAGTTACAAAATTCTTTTCGTATCTGCTTCTTCGGTCACAAAATGTCTTTTATAATAAAATCTCAAAAGCAGAACTCCTAAACAAACAATTTAAAATTACTTTCAAATATTAATAAGCACTTTTAAAAATATTAGTCAAACATATCTCATTATTGAAACTCCATTTTATTGAACGGCTTTTTCTCAACCTCCTTTTCTAAAACTCCTTTTATTGTAAGCATAAACCGAATCAAACGAAGCCTAAGATGACTTTTTTTTTGTGTGTGTTCTCACATCTTCATAACAAATAATTAAATAAATCCTCTTAAATAGGATTAATAGTTATTATGATGATGACATTTTTTTTTTTTGGTTCTCACATCTTCATAACAAATAATTAAATAAATCCTCTAAAATAGGATTTTAAGACTAGATGATGAGAGAGTCTCATTCGTGTATGTAGGTGAAATATTAAATTTTAGAAAAAGTATGCGGATCCTGGAAGGCATTCGAAGACCAACTAGAACGTGCAACGTCATTTTTTTTTGCTCAATACCGATGCTCGATAACGCTGGTATTGAGTGACGTAGCACATTCTGATTGGTATACGAACTATTCAACGTCCGCACAGAATAATTTCTCTAAATTTTAAGGGGTTGTTTTGTTGTAATATTTTAGAAAAGCTAATTCAAAATAAAATAAAGTAAATATAGTGTATTTCATTTTAGTTCTTTTTTGAGGTAATTGTTCTCAAGAAGAACTGTTTAGTTTGATTGACAATGGCCAACAACCATTGTCTACATCGCCAATCCGGCGCTGGCCACCAAAAGATGAGTCCTTTTCTCCCGTTGCTCTTCATTTCAAAAAATACCAAAGAGCCTACTTCTATGCGTAATCAATCAATGATCGAGAAGGGGAGCACATTTTTTAAACTCTCAACGGTCATAAAAAGAGAAAATTTGATGGATCAAAGATCTAACAATTGAATTGCCCAAAATTATTCCAAAAAATTGTAGAACCTGATTTTGACCCACAGAAAAAAATGCTGAAAACAGATGATTGACCTTATTATTACATATATCTCAATGAGAGCAATCACATGTCATTGGCAATTGGCAAAATGAAAGCTTGTGAAAGCAGGGGCAAATCCACTATATGCCCAGGCAGGGTATTTATTATATGATTATTTAAGTAATTTGTCCCATTCAATCTATTTTTTAATCTTTATTATAAAATTTTTTAGCCAATTTGGTTATAAAAATTTTTATGAAAAAAAAAAAATCTATACTTTTACTTATAAATTTGAACCCCCAATTTGAAAATTAAGACTGGTTCCGCACTTCCGCCACTCTGTGAAAGTCGGTAATTCTCGAAAATTTTCAAAACAAGTTATAAGTTGATGGAAAAACGTCAAAGAAACTACACCATTGTTAGACAAAATGTTCTTCAAGAGACATAATGTTGTACACTTATCGTGATTTTGTGGTCTCTGGAGATTGCAATGGCATCGAGAAATTTTGATTTTTGAATTTTATAGACAAACCACAAGCAATTCAAAAGTGCAGCATCACAATCTGAAAGCAGAGGAGAGGAGTCTTGGGGCATTCTTGGCCAACCCATGGGATGACCTGACCCACTGGGTGGCAAATGGAGTCGTCTATCGCCCTTGGTCCTTGGACATGGAACTTGCACATACATATCATGTGTGAGGAATGAGGGAAGTTTTCAAATGTAAGGGGCTGTTTGGTAGCAGGATTTAGGCGGATTTGAGTGAAATCTAGCCAAACGTCCTAAAATGCAAAACGAAATCTCACGGAAAATGAAAGCCGCCGCAAATGAAAATTTCCGCTTTTTCGTGCTAAACCATGGATTTCCAAAATCTTGTTTTTTGCCGGATTTACGAAATCTGTTGGCTCAAGAGGAAGAGTCCGTTCGTTAAATCCGTTCTATAGCCAAACAATCGCACGGGATTTAATAGGATTTATCATAAATGTTATCAAACAGTTTTCAGGATTTAGGCCCCTTTGAATTTTCAAAATCCGGATTTACAAAATCCTACTCAAATCAATCCCTAGGTGCTACCAAACAGCCCCTAAAAAAATCGAAATCGAAGTTCCAAGGACTCCTGAAATAACTTCAACAAATTTTCAATTTGTTTTTAAAAGCCTTTGGGCTGTGAAAAATTATACAAATATTATGGCGTAATAAAATGGAGTTTACAAACATATCTATCAATGAAACAGAGCAACTATCACTTAGGATTACTAGGCACCATGATTTTAGCAAGCTGAAAAAGTGGGAAAAACCCAGAATAAATTCTCTATTGGTCCAGCAGCCTGAAGCAATAATGAATAATCCAATCTATGGCAAAAGTTCTATCCAAAAAAGCAAAAAGAACAAGCTAACTTATAGTGATTAATGATCATCCATCTCTTCTAATTTCCTGTCATCTAAGAAACCTAAACCCGCAAGAACGCACCTCCATTTCAAGCACTCGGAGAAAGTTTGGCCTTCTTGTTCACACTGCCAGCGAATCTCTTTGCAAACGCATCAACAATCTGACTGTGCAAATCGAGCATCGCTTCCGTCCGCTTCAGTTCCATCTCCATTCTAAATCTCTCCGTCTCCCTGGCCATGTCCATCTTCATCCGCTCCATTCTCATATACCCATCCCCGAGCTTCCTCAGAGCCGCAATCATATCCCCCACAGCGTCTCCCTCCCTCTCCTTCTTCCTCTCCCTCTCCTCAATCCTTGTCATCTCCACCCTCCGCCTTATCTCCTGCATAGAAGACTTCGACACCCGCCCGCCGCCGGAACAAGGGTTAACGATCTTGGACCGGAGAGCCTTGGGGATCGTGAATTGGAGCCCTTGGCCGCCATTGGGCATGCGGCGGTGGTCGCTGCTGCGGGTATTTCCGGCTGTGCCGGAGTCGGAATCGGAATGGGGACGGTGGTAGAGGGATTCCATAATGTGGAAGAAAGGCCAGGGAGAAGAGCGACGAAGGTTGCCGGATCGGAGCCGCTCGGATCGGAATCGTTTGCGGAGTTTTTCTACCTTATGGCGGCACTGAACGGAGGTCTTGGGGGTGGCGAAGGGAAGGTGGGAGCAGCGGCGGGACACATCAGCGGCGACCTCTCCCCAGTCAGCGGCGCGGAGGTTGCCGCAGCGGAGGGAGTGCCACTTGTCGCGATAGGATTCGATTAGGGATAGGGTTTCGTCGTGGGACCAGCAAGGGGGAGGGAAGCCGGGGCGGGAGGGAAGCGAGGCCGGCGAGTATTCGCCGGCAGCGGCGGCGGAGGTCTGTTGGGAGGAAAAGGCCATGATGAGAAGTACAAAATGAAAGATTAGGGATGCTGGTGGCGACGGGCGGTTATTTGTAAGGTTATAACGGAGCTAGGTTGGATCGGGTCACCGCCCGCCCGAGGGTGGGGTGTGCTGTGCCGCGCGAAGGCGGTGCCGAGAGCGCGGTCGCGAGGTCGTGGCGACCATCCCGCCCAACAGGCTGCGGCTCGGCGGCTTTTTCGACTTTAAAGCGCTCTTCGCTTGGTGAAGGCAGAAGGAAATTTTTTTTTTTTTTTTTGGGAGGGGGATTTATATGTATATCACTTTATATTATATTATTTATATATTTAATATTTAATATTGTAATATTTTATATCTATCAAACATATATAATATTAATATCAAATATTCCACTCATATATTTCATTCTCATCACTTATACTATCTTATAAATTTTAATATTCATTTCTTATATATTTGATCTATAAGTAATAGACCTAAAATAATAAAAATTTTAATGTTAAATATATAAATAATATGATATAAAGTGGTATATGTGTAAATCTTTTTTTGGAAGAAATTTATTGCTTTAATATTCTTAAATTTATATTAAAATGCATATAATATTCAGATTATTAATTAATTATGTATTTCATTTATTTTAAATTTTATTTTGATCAAAATTTTTCATTATGATCACATCTTTTTTTTTCCCTTGATTTATTTTAGTTTCCCTTTTTTATGAAAAAATACGGAAAACATTTAAATAAGATATCTTAAACAAAACTTCGATCATTAAATCTGTTTTAATATTCATATAATATTAATTATTTATATATTATAATCATCTCAAAATAAATCTAATATTTTTTGATCTAATATTCCAATTGACCAATTTTATACTTATTCTCATACAAAAAATTCTCAAAAAGTACTATACTATTTAGATTTTTTAATAAATTATTTAATCCAAAACCATTATCTCTCAAAAAATTTACATATATGTAGCACTTAAAATTTCGACCTTTATATATTTATTATTTATCTATATAACATCCCCCAAAAAAATTAATATCTCAAAATTAACAATTTCTTTTCCTCTATCTAAAACTCGTTGTCTCCTTCGCGGAACACTGCGTTGGCGAAGGAGGCAGCAGCCAAGAGCCGTGTTCTCTGCGCTGCCAGCTCCGATCTTAGCCCTAACGTTTGCCTTCGCCTTCTCCATCACTCAACGTTTCGATCTCCGGCGAGGTTCTCTTCTGCACCGACCACCGTTTCTTCGATAGAGATATCTTCAGCACCCTGGTAAGACTCTGCCACTGTGGAATGCTGGCATCACGACCATGAATCCAAATGTGAACCACGATAGCTCGCAGTTTTGGATTTCTGCTTCTTCACTTCCAACCAAATGTCGAAAGCTCGTTAAGCTTTTCACGACCATCTTCTCCCTCACCAAGGTGGTCCTTTCATCTGCCGTTCTTCTAGCAGAGGTAAAAGGAGTGTTATTCTTGAGATATTAAATTGTTTGTGTGCTATGTAAACAAAAAGTAGTTTTAAGCGTTAATATGTAAATATAAGTTTTATGATTGGAAATAAAGGCTTAGAGCATCTATTTCCGGCGAAATTATTGGGTTCGGACAACTGACGACCTACGAAATCAAAAAAAATGCGCCACATCATCTCCTACTCGGTATTGAGCTCGGTACTGCTCAGTACTCATTACTTGACAGTACCGAACTCAGTGCTACACTGTACTGTGAAGTTCCGAACGTAAGCTGTGTCAAATGTCAGAACCCAATAATTTCCCCTCCAACCGAGGCAAATGCATGTTTGCCGCTGTCACGAGCCTCCGCTCAAATACCAAATGCAAACAATTTTTTGTATTTTTTTCTTCAATGTGATCATTGTGTGAAGTTAATATTGATGTGGCACTATTTAAAGGAATATTTTTTTTTATATATAAAAAGGGGAAGAAAAATAATGTACACAAAATATTTTTTTTATAATAAAGATGGAGTTCAGTTGTAGATGAATTACTATTTGGTATGAATATTACAGTATTTAAAAGAGATAAATAGATTTTTTTTGTTGGAGATGCCCTTATAACATTGTTGTAGAACTTAACTTTTTTTAAACTATTGTAGAAAGTAATTTTCTAGCACTTATTTTTTAAAGCTAAAAAAATAATGATCAAATAAAAATTATGATTGTAATCGTAAGAAAGTTATCAAAAATGAAGCCTAAGTAACATATAAAATAATTATAACTAAAACTTCCTAATTTTTAAAAATTCCTCTTACAAACATAATTATATTATATATGCAATTACCTATATATATTTTAGTGAGTGTAATAAAATGTTAATACATTTGATTTAATTCACTACTTGATATTTGTCGCCATAGCCACTTTGCCCTCTCATTGGTGAGAAATTATTACTTATGAATTAAATATATAGCTCTTTTTTCATTAGTGAAAAATTAAATGCATATAAACCATACATACTGTACAGCTCGATATGTACAAAAAAAAAAAAAAAAAAATCTTTTTTTATCTGGGATAAACATGTACAATATTACTCGCTGCATCTTACATTTGTTTAGTTCAAAACTATATATTTAATTCATTTAGAGTATATAGCAAATGAGCATACAGTTATATACTTAATTCGTATATAAAATTGCATACATAATTCAAATATAATAATTTATCATCGTCCGTGTAGCCAACGGCTATAACTTCTTTTTTATTTAGAACGAATTTTATCACAACAAATCTGTATACATTAGACTTGAAATTCAATTTCTTATTGTTAAAATTAAGGTTTCATTTGAGACAGCTTTCTTACTATTTTCTAAATTAAATTTTTAGTACAAAATTTTCAAAATGCATGAAAAAAGGTTAGCTTGAGATAAAAAATAAAATTCAGAGGGACATATACAAATAACCCTTACTATACTAAGAGTTTTAATTTTTTTAGGAGGCCTCACCACTAAAATTCTGCCCCTGAGCTTACATGACAATGGTTAGCGTTTGCATAGAGATCCCAAGGATTGGTCATGATCGTGATGACGATGAATAAGAGTTTAAGTATAAATGAAGATGATCGTGATGATGATCGTATGGTTGAAAAGAAATTAAATGGAAAAAAAAAATTTTGATATATATATATATATTTACCCAAATTGAAGGATGATGATGATCACAGCCCAAAAATTATTTATAATATAATTTTAGTACAAATTTTGACCAAATGTAAGCAGGAATCATACAGAAAAACATGTATTTGTTATGTTTTCTTGTCAAAATCAACTTATTATGAATCAAACAGACAATTTTTTTCCCTTAATTGCTTCAAATAAAAGGCCAACTCTAACAGATCGGAGAAAAATATAAGTGCTGGAGCGAAAAATGGTGTCATGGCAAATTTGTTAGGGTCGCTACAAGTAGAGGTGAGATAGCACATCAAGCAATAAAAGTGCCCTGCTCGTAGCAAAAGAGGGCAAGGGCAAAGCCCTCGAGCAAGGGAAAAGCAGAATCCGATGGCCACTTGCAAGTGCGAGAGATCGAATAGCACTAGCAGCGAGTGCAGAGACTACAACATACCTACACTGGCTAATATTCATGCAGTAGTGCCATCGCAGTAAGATCTTGGTAGAGCTGAATATGGAGAGATTATTCTATGCGGACACCGAACGGGAGAACCGTCCAGTTTACGCTTAGGTACCGAGTGGTATCGAACCGCGGTACCACTCAGTACTAAGCTTGATACCAGATGTGACGCATTTTTATTGGGGTCTGAACTCCGCACAGAATAATTTTTCCTTAACAAGAGACCCCGGAGCCTGTGCACTTTCTTGTGTATCCAAATTTGTCCGTAGAAACTACCAGGCCTTACTAGAAGGTCTACCCGATGAGCAGACAAGTTGAACCTTTGTGAATGGAGAGTAAGAAGTGAGTGGAGAAAAGTGCTACAAAATGCTCCAGCAAACTATAGATCTCAAGTTGGTAGAGTATCCATTATTAGTCTAAATATCCTCCAAAAGATCCCAACTATTCCTCACCGCCTCATATTTATATAGTTCTGATGGCTACGTAAAATGTTATTAATAGCAACTACCACATACTCTAAGCTAGTGGAGCTGCATCAGCAAATCAGGACCGTCCATAACAACCTAACCCACATCCACTGTACACCTGTAAAGAAAAAAAAAACAATACTCTGTACTCATAGTACACTCACTCAGCTTTATATACCTGCATCATCGTGTAAAGCAGTGATATACATTTTTCACTAGTTAATACATATATACATATATTCTTTCTACTTGCGATGCTTTAACCTGTAGAAGTAGGTATGCTTTTCAGCATTATCATGATATAAGAGTTTTAATACCTCACGGTTTATACAACATGGAGCAGTCTGAAACCTCCCCACTTGAGTCATTTCCCGGTCCTCAAATCCCCTCATCCCTGAAATTCGTCTCTCCAATATCAAAATCATCATTCCCACCAAGCTCTCTAACAATACCTACTCAATCTAGAAGTCTTAGATTCTCAAGCTCTTCTCAGCAAACGGCTCAGGTTTTCTCTATGGCACCAACCCTATAGCACCATCAAATATCTCCAATCCAGACTCCACCCTAAGTGAAAACCCCGCCTACAAACATTGGCATCTAATCGATCAAACCTTGCCGCAGCCCTATGCTCCACTCTCACCACTTCCATCCTTCCCTATATTCACAACCTCAGCACCTGTTGTGAGATATGGACCACCCTCGAGTGTCGTCTCCAAGCCACCAACAGATCCAGAGTTATCCAGCTCAAAAATGAGCTGCATAATGTCTCGATAAAGAACTCAGCCATGACCCATTACCTTACCAAAATCAAGACTCTCATGGATCACATATCCGCTGTCGGATCCACAATCGATCACGAGGACATCATTCTGTACACCCTTAATGGGCTACCACATCGATATAAATCATTCAAAACCTCTATCATAACCCAACTCAATCCCGTGAGTATAGATGACTTTCATTCTCTTCTTATTAGCGAAGAGATTAATCTCTCGGCTGACTCGACTAAACCTCAGATATCCCCAAACCATTCCTATGCTCTTTACATGCGGTCGTGGTTCTCATGGTCAAGCAAGATTCTCCTACCATAACTCTCCTCGACCCTCATCCCCTACCCCATCAACTAGAGGTGTCAATATTTGACACGACTCGAAAATTCGACTCGAACCCGACCCAAAAATTTCGAATTAGAGTCAACCCGAACCTGAAACGGGTCGGTTCGGGTTGAACCTTTGACCCGAAATTGACCCGAAACTGACCCTTTTTTACCTGAAAACCCGTTTTTGACCCGACACCCGAGATTGACCCGTTTTTTACCCGAAAAGCGAATATTGACCCTTTTTTTTACCCGAAAACTAGCATTTTTTGTTGGCACCGAGTCATTCTCGGGTCCGGAAAAACAAACCGTTTTAAAAAACAGTTCGAGTTGACACGAATAGTGTTTGGTCAGTTTCGGGTTCGACCCGAACCAGACCCGTGACTCGAAATTGACACCCCTACCATCAACCATTACTCCTCACATATGCCAAATTTGCAACAAGTGAGATCATTTAGGATTTAAATGTTGGCACCACCTGAATGTCAATTATATTCCCCCGTCAATTGCCCCAACTACCGCTCCAGCACCCACTGCCCTAGTCGCTTCCTTCACGAATGGATACTTGATTCCGACGCCACTTCCCATCTAACACCCCACATTGAAAATTTCCGTCATCCAATGGACTATACTCAGGCCCTGATCAAGTCATCGTTGGCAACGGCAGCAACACACCCATCACCCACACCAGTCAAGGCTTGCTACCTCTTCCTACCGGTAAGTTACTATTGTCTCAAATTCTTTACATTCCTTATATCTCCCACAATCTTATTTGCATCCACAAACTTACTTAAGATAATAATCTCTCTCTCTATTTTGATGCTTTTAACGACAAAATCTTAGACCAGCACCACCAATGTATCCAACAGGGACCCGCTCGTAACAGCCTCTATCTGCTACATCTATCATCCAATTTAGCTCCCACAGCTCCACCACCAACATCTCCTCTAACCTATCCTGGCATCGACGTCTTGGCCATCTACATCACCGACACTATCTCCAGAACAAACCCGGATCTCCCAATTCTGGTTCAATTATCTTCTTGTTTTTCTTGGGCCTCTATGAGCCACAAACTACCTTTCTCTTCTTCTTGTAACCACAAATGTACTCTGTTAGCTTTATTACATTCGAATGTATGGGGCCCTTCCCCCACCTTATCTTCTCAAGCATATAGATACTACTTATTACTTGTTGATGATTTTTCAAGATATGTATGGCTATTTCCCATGAGAGCCAAATTTGAAGTTAGATCTCTATTTATTAACTTCAAACAATTCATTGAGACACAACTCTCCACTAAAATAAAATGCATTCCTACAACCATTCCCTCCAATCCTTTCTTCAAAAACATGGCGCTCCATCAAACAAGTTGCTCATACATCCCAGAGCAAAATGGCCTTGTTGAGCGCAAGCATCATCACATTATTGAAACCACCCGAAAACTACTTGCAAAAGCTCATCTTCCACACCATTTCTAGCCTGATGCAGCTCTCATTGTCATATACCTCATCAACCAAATGCCTTCACCAATCACCAAACACAAATCTCCCTACTAGTTCCTATTCAACCAATCACCCTCTTACAATCATCTCCGCATATTCGGATGTGCATGCTTTCCTTGGTTTCCCTCATCCACTCGCAACAAACTACAACTGAAATTCACCATGTGCATCTTCCTTGGTTATTATGATACACACAAGGGCTATAGATGTCTAGATCAATCAACTAGCAAAATATTTATTTCCCGCCACGTTCGATTTGATGAATCCATCTTTCCCTATCATTCACCTCCACGGGTTCAAAATTCCTATCCCAACACCTCTAACCCATTTATTCTTACTCCCACTTCCTGCTCACCTTTACCCAAATACATCAAAACCGCCCACTCCTATTTTCTCATCCACCTCTCCTCAAATTTCTCCAACCACACCTCCACATATCTCAACCTCCCCACCATCCCATCAATCACCCACAACCCATCCCATTTTTCCTCCTACTCATCATATGCTGACCATGTTCAAAACTGGTCACCTAAAACCTCATCAATCACTAAGCCTCCTATCCACCATGAAACCCACAGCCGAACCCACCTCATTCTCAATCGCCTTTATCCATCCTGAATGGAGGAGAGTTATGCAAGCAGAATTTATTGCATTAAAAAATATAGGAACTTGGACACTTATACCCAAACCAACCTCAGTCAAAACTCTTGGTTGTAAGTGGACATTTCGCCTCAAACTCAACCCCATTGGCTCCAATCAACACTACAAAGCCAAACTAGTTGCTCTGGGTAACTACCAAGAGTTTGGACTCAACTTTACAGAAACATTTAGCCATGTAGCTAAAATGCCCTCTATTCGAGTATTACTAACTCTTGCACTCAATATGAACTGACCCATACATCAATTAAACGTATCCAAGGCCTTTCTTCATTGCCCACTTCAAGAGACCATCTACATGACTCAACCAAAGGGTTTTGAAGATCCCCAACATCCAAACCATGTTTGCCTTCTCAACAAAGCAATATACGGTCTCAAACAAGCTCCCCGACAATGATTCACCACATTTTCCCACCACCTCATCTCTCTCGGCTTTCATCCAAGCCAGACCAACCCCTCTCTCTTCACTCTCACTTGTCCCACTCACTCCACCTATCTCATAATCTACGTCGATGACATCCTCCTCACAGGTTCTTCTCCAACCCATATTGAACATACTATCAAAATTCTTCACTCCACATTCTCTATGAAACACATTGGCAACCCCTCCACTTTCTTCGGACTCTAAATAACTCACAAATCCAACTCTTTTTTTCCCTTTCAATAAACCTATATTCACTCTATTCTTAACAAAGTCAGCTATACATCCTGCAACCCTGCATCTAATCCCAATCTAGTCAAACTTCCATCCAATTACAACTTTTCAGGTACCCCATTTTTCCTCGATCTCTTTCGCCACCTTACCGGCTCACTTCAATATCTCACCATCACCCGCCCTCACATTGCATACGTTGTCAACCAATTATGCCACATATGCACAACCCGTTACCAAAATATTCTCAATGGATGAAGCACCTACTTCGCTACCTCAAAGGTAAGGTCAATTATGCCCTACCCATCACGAAAGGTTCACTTCTCTTAAGCTCATATGCTGATTCAAACTGGGCAAGTGAGACTACCACTCGTCAATCCACCACGGGCCACGGCTCATATCTTGGCTCTACTCTCATCTCCTAGACAGTCAAGAAACATCCCACAATAGCCCGCTTCTCTATCGAAGCCGAGTATCGAGCCCTTGCTGCAACAGCTACCGACATCGTCTGGCTTCAACATCTTCTACATAACTACAACATACTAGTGACACAACCAACTACTCTCTACTGTGATAGCAATTCTGCTATAACACTAGCTAACAACCATGTCTTCCATGCAAAAATCAAACACATAGAAATAGACTATCATTTCATTCGTGAACAAGTTCGAGCTAGCCACATTCACCTGGCTCCAATCGACTCTCAGAACGAGCCAGCCGACATTCTCACAAAACCTCTGTCCACATTAGGTTCCAATAGCTCCGAACCAAACTCACGATTTAGCCACCTACATGAGTTTGAGAAGGTATAATAGCAACTACCACGTACTCTTAAGCTAGTGGAGCTGCATCAGCAAATCATGATCGTCGGCTCATAACAACCTAACACACATACATTGTACACCTGTAAAGCAAAAAAGCAATACTTTGCACTCATAGTACACTCATTCAGCTTTATATACATGCATCATCATGTAAAGCAGTGATATAAATTTTTCCCCAACAGTTAATGCATATACTACTTCTACTTGCCGTGATTTAACTTGTAGAAGTAGGTATGCTTTTCAGATTTATCGGTTACATAGAGAAAATTTAAAATGTATAATGCAACACAAACTACTCATACAACTTTACACACTACCCTAGACATGAGTATCCTACTAATAGGTTGAAGGAGGACAAGGTTGGAAGGCTTCAATGAGTTGCTTTCGGGTGAGTTCACTAGTGTTGAGCGGACAAGGGCAAGTGTACTTGTGCAAGTACAAATGAAAGGGAACCAGTGACTGGCGTGCTTGCTAGTTCACCTGATGACTCGTGCGATGGATCTTCGATCACTAAGAAAAGGAGGCGTATATTCTAAATGAGAACGAGTGCAAGAGTGAAGAGAGAACGAGTGTAAGAGTGAAGAGAGTGAGCGTCTAAGGTTGCTTTGAGGAGGGAGTGACTGAGTTGGTGGTCCAGGCATGTGGCAAGTTGCTAATTGAATCCACGGTTTGCCCTGCAGAGGACGAATTCCTTGGTAGACTTAGGTGAGATGGGTGAGTTCCCTACAAGTTAGATGCGAGTGGTTCCTCTGGGATCATTAGGTGAATCTCCTGGTGGGCGGCACTTGTTGAGGCCGAGTTCCTCTCCATGACTTGCTAGTTACCTGCTAAACATTGATGGAGTATTGTACGAGTATACATCTTGGCTGGCACGATGGGTTTGTCTGCTGGGAAAGCATGAAATTTGGAAGATGACAAGGTCGATACCCCAAGAATCTATTAACGTTTGATGGCCAATGCACCTTATAGGGATGATACTTATTGAGGGAGAGGTTAACAACTTAACAGTGGGTGAAGCACATCATCGAGGACGCCAAGGAGGGATAGAGTGACTATGATGCCTAGACAGAAAAATATAAAGCATCTTTATTTAATGGACCATCATGCTATAACAAATATCTTCATATATAGATAAAAAAATTTAATAGTAAAAAAATATATCAAAGAAGAATATTCATCATTATGAGCATATATATATGAACATATATTATGATAATAAATCTCCATATTTTTAGTTAATATTTATCATATGTAATATTTATTGATATGCTAACATAACAATTTCACATGATTTCTAATTGAAATTGATAAGATTTGGATCATTTGAATGTGGTTGATATGAAATGTTAAGTAAAATACAATAATATATAATAAATCACCACTTGAGTGATATTGTAAACTCCTATTATATTTGCAGAAATGCAGAAATGTAGTAATGTGTTACAAAGGATCTCTATTAACATCCTTGTAAAGAAGGTACCTCGACCGGGTTTTTCCTAATGCAGCATACCTGAGAATCAGAAAGGAGAAAGAAAATTAAGCTATGTGTCTTCCCACTAAAGACCACAAACTATCAAACTTTATGTGGTATTTATGTTAATAGAAAGAGAACATACCATTGTGGTACAAATGGTGCCATCCAAATGGCGTCGCCTGCTTGAACTGGGTACCTGACAATGCAAAGGAATATAAAGAAATTTCAAAACACAAGATTCCAAGAAGTCAGTCTTCATAGGTTCCCAAAAAGATATCATTCAATCAACACAAATCTCAAAGCGTGCATAAGCATTGAAACAAAACAACTTTAGATTTTAGAGAAGGTGTAAGTGAGTCAAGCCTACTCGAGCTCAGCTCGGTAAATGGCATGAGTAGATTTAGATGAGCTAAAGAGTGAAACTTGTGCCAAACTTGACTCGACTTTAATTCGCAAGCTGGCTCTTTCAAAAAATATTATTATAAAATACACTTAAAATATATAAGAATACATGAGTTAAAGTATAAAGGTATTAAAAATATTTTTAAATGATATCTCACTTTCCTATATCAATTGATTCTTTATTATTTAAATTCTAACTTTTAATTTATTTTATAATTGCTTGAATAATAATCATTTTCTTTCTTTTATAATAAACGTGCCAACTTCAACTCCTAAAAATAAGCTCAAGCTTCAACTCGATTAATTAATCAAGCTCAAGCTCAAACTAGGGGTGACTCAAATTGTGTACACTCCTACTCCTAAATGAACCTGGAAGCACCTTGAAACTAGCCTCTCAAAATTGAAGAAACAACAAAAAAACAATGCAATTGGTTTAATTTCACCCTCCTACTAGCCCTAAAATATGTCATTTACCACCGTGTGATTTGAAAACAAGTAACCAGAATGATTTTCCAGGAGATAAAAGTAAACAAAAAGCACAACCGAGAAATATTGCCCTTGTTTGAGGAACTCTCATACTCTTAGTTTAACATTCTAATGGATATAAGTCTCAATAGTTAATTATCCCTTAACTTGTTAGAGATAACTTTAAATAAAATCATTTTTATCTTTAACTATTGATGTAGAACCAAATGCGAGAGTAATAATGTAATGCTGAAAAGACATGCCTTTTAAATAGAGCAATAATAATTACGTTTACTTTTGGTGATTTAAACAAATATTAAAACAACAAGGAGATGATTTAAGATTAGGCCAAATTATAAGATAAAAGTTAGAATCACAAATAATCAGTTCAATCAAAATCAGCATAGTATGGAGGAGTTCAAAGGAAATCCCTATGTTAACATATAGATTAGGCACTAATTGGATCCACTCACTCTCACTCTTGATGTATACTAAACGGAGATAGATTGCACAACCATTATGATGCCACAAATCAAAGGGAAGACATAGAAAAGCAAAGACTTGGAGGAGAAATTCACCTTTATTAGGATTTCGAAATGATGTGCCACTGAGCGGGAGAGAGTTGTTCGTCGATGGCGGCGACAAGAGAGAAGATAATCCTTTCGACGTAATCCTCAACTATACGGTCGACTTCCAAGTTAATGTCGAAGAACGGAGACTTGAGGATGTCAACTTGCCCTTGATTGTTGTAAACAAATCCGTGATCACGTTGTGGATCAACCATACATCAGGAAACAACAGATTTTAATGAGCTGGAGCTTCTGGACAGCAAACGGCATCTTTCCGGAGGGCTGGACAGCAAAGATCCTTGCTGAAATTTTCCGGACAACAAGCGAAGGCCTTCCGGGCAGCATGCTGCCCAGCAAAGAAAGCTTGCTGAAATCCTTGGACAACAAGCAAGAATTTCAGAAAGAGAGGGAAAACATGAAGGGAAGTTTGGGAGGAGGCGGCTAGGGTTGATAGGGGTTAGGGGGGTGATTGAAGAGTTTAATAGAGTAGATTAATTAGATAGGAGAAATAGAGAGAGGGACGGCACATGGATGGGGGTTTCTTATTTGGGCAATTTGAAATTGAATATTCTTCAATTAAAGGAGAGAGGGAAGTAGGGGGGCCGGCGGCATGCTTGGGGCAAGAGGGGCTTTAGGTGGGGTTTTAAAACTTGTCTTCTTAGAATCTTAAATTAGGAAAGATCATTTTAAATCAAATCCTATTTAAAATTCAAATATATTTGTTTTAGTAACTTTTCTAAAATAAACATAGTTGAATAGGAAAGAATTTCAAATGAAAGGAATACGCTTTTAATACTTTCCTAATGTGATTTGCACCCAATATGGAAAGCAATAATGTGGTAATTTAAAATTTGGAGGCAAAGGGGAGGAGGATGAGGCCGACGACTAGGGTTAGGCGTAGAGCTTGAACCGGAGGCTTGGAGAAGGGGAAGGAACCTTGGGGCCGGCGGTTTGGGGAGGAGGGGATGGGTCTTTTGGCTGGCGGCTTGGAGGTGGGAGAGGGGTGGCTGGCCGGGGTTGTGGTGGTGTTGGGGGTTCTGCCGAGAGAGGGAGAAGGAGAGGGATGGCCGGTGGTTTAAGGAGGAGAGAGGGGAAGGATTGGCATAAAGGAGGACCACAAACCCTTAGGGCTTACATAGGACTACTCCCTCAAGTGAGGGTACAAATGAAAAATATGTAATAATAACTCAATACAACATAATAATAAATCTAATACAAATAATAACTCAAAAGTAAAGCGGTGCAATCGTGGCCGTAGATCGTTGGCCCCGTCTCTGGTAAACTCTTCATGGTCGGATGTCCTCATCAAGTATAGTTCATAGTTGGTCACTTACTCATATTGATCTAATTCGGAAGTTGCTTTACCTGGCATGCACTAAGATTTTGGCTAGACCATTCGCATATCTCATTGAGTTCCTTTCATTGATCATTGGTTTCAATATACATTTATAAACCCTTTTGGATTGCCTCTCTTTAGAAAACATCTTGATCTCTAGTTTTGAGAGTTTAGTGTTACTTTGGTCTCATTGATATTTGATTTGGAAGTTTCATCATTGCTTTCTTGACCGTTCTTTTGAAGTATTCCATCATTGAGACCATGGAAGATCTAGCAATTTTTAAATTATGGTAAATTTTAAATTATCATTTGAAATGAATGAAATGTTTTTTCTAATTTTGCAACAAAAATAACTAATCATTTCTTAATATTTTAAGATGAGAAATTATGAATCATAATTTTTTGTAATTTTTATGCATCTCATAATAACCATGCATTATTGAATCCTAGACTCTAATACATCCTTTATCACATCTCTACCTCCTGGCACTTGAAGAGTTTACAACAGATAACAAATCTAGCAACGTAAAGTCAAAGACAATCACAATATTCAAAGGAATAAACTGGCTCTCACCTTTAATCACAACAATTATGTATCGTATGCATGTGGTAAGCATGTAAATAGCAGAAATGCAGGAGATCGAAAACAAAAATAAAAGAGAGGGATAAACCACAGCTAGTTATTGGCTGTAGCAAAAGATGGGGAAGGTTTCAAGCATGTGTTTCAATTTTTGAACAGTTCCATATGATTGGTACAGTTCCGAATATATGACCATCCATTCATGTTGGCTGTTCACTCAGGGTTCGTTTGGGATGGCTTTTTTAAAACTTCTTGAAGCTGCTTTCTAGTACAAAAATTTTAATTTTTAAACTAAAAAAATTGCTTCAAGAAGCAATACAAAAGCCGCCCCAAATGAAGCCTTAGTGGAGTGTGGTGAACTATGTCCCAATAGTTTACATGTAGATATTTTTATAATAACTACTCATTCTAAAAGAGCAAGAGAAAAGAAAACATTTTGTCTTATGTTTCAACAAGCTTGTTATTTAGCCTATGCGCCCCAATGTCACCATCTTGCGAAGGGATTTACAGATTGTTGGAGTTTCATGACCCTTGGAAGCCCGATAAATACCGCAATAAGAAAAATAATAAAACCTCACATAACTATAAGTGATCCGTTATAAGGTAAAAAAACACACCAGTTGTCACCAAGGCGATATATTCCCTGCCCCTCCAGTAGCAACAAGCCGTGTTGATTGTAGTGCACCTCCTGGTTCAATAAAAGTTATGTTGGTCTTTAAAGGAGTTCAAATATGCAGAGTAATCATGCAAACATCAAGAAACATATTGAATGCAAGAAATAACTAAATAAATAACAGTATAGTCATTACTTTATTGCCTTCCAAGAACTATAATTAATAAGCAGAGAAGATTTTCAGCATACCTTGACATTAAGATATTCCCCAGGTTGAAAATCCATAATCTGCAATGAGAGATATTTGAGTGAAACTATGAACACACATATTTTGGTCTCTCCTTAAAACATAAATGAGCAAAGTCAGAACACTTCTAACAAAATTGCGGATGAAACAAGAGAGTATATCTTTTCTAACATAATCACAGAGATTCCATGCTTGGATACAAGAGCGTAACAACAGATACCCAGTTTTATGTTGCTTATGCTGAGATTCCATTCAGGGACAGCATTCGTATGTTTGAAGATGCCAATAAATGCAAGTATTATTATATGATGTTTTGTTTAAGCTACACTTCATTAGCTTAACAGTAGGTGAAACCCCTAAACAACCATGTAAAAAGGATTAAAAATATTAACTGGATCAATTTCATTTGCCACCATCTAAACCTAGAAAACAAATTGACCTCTCAAGCATGATATATTGAAGTTAGAACTAAAAGACAAAAGGGGGGATAAACAGTGATATGTGTGTTTTAAAGTTGGAAACCAAAAATTAAAAAGAGTATTCTGAGGTTCTTCCCAAATTGACCTTCAATCTATCTTGGGGGCTTTTTTGAAATATTTTGATTAAGCTCATATTTGAGGCCAGAAGATGAGCCTAATCCACAACATACAGAGCTTGAATTTGAAAAGGTGATATTTTCCCAGTAACAATTTACTGGACAATAGACTCTTTCAATTGAAGCTAGCATGCCATTGAGTACAGAATTACTTGTAGCCCTATACATGGTGATACAGGAGGAGAGATTTCATCTAAGTTTCAGAAATAAGCTGACCAACAAGCTTTTGTTAAATGACTAAGCATATAGTATTCGACTTGTAGAGATATGCAGTAACCAAATCGTTAGACAATTCATAATTTGAAGAAGTGGTTCGCCATTTTCAAGCTATGCACGAAAAAGGCACTTGTCATTTGATAAAAACTGAAAGAGAAGATGAACCAGCAAATATGCAGCACAAATCAACAACTCATGCTTTCTGAGATAATACCCAACAAGTATCACATCTATGTGGCATCATATGTAAATGGAGAACTAGGATTCTTGTTTCTTGTGCAGCTGCTAATCTGATTGCTCTTCTTTTTTATTTTTTTCATTCATACAAGTCCATAATATCTGTTAGTCCTTTGGCTTCTTTATCCTTTAATTTCCATCAAATGCTACCTTTACTTTTCACAAGATATGTAATTCTTTACAAATAGCAAGCAATTTGTGAATACTGCAAGTGAACTAGCAGAAATAAGGGTAGCACAGAAATAACAAAGTCAGTCGCAATGCCAAGCTTATAATCTCACTGAATTTGTGATGACTCACATGGATATTGAAATCATATGGTGTTGAAGTGGGAAGCAGTTTCCGCAATTCAAATACCTGAATATATAGACAAATCATTATTGCATAGAGTTAAAGGAATTACTTGGCAAATGGAATAGTAAACAAAGAGTCATTTAAAAATCAAACTAATAAACAGAACAGAAGGGTTACAAAAATAGAACATGGACAGATACATTTCAAGCCACACTAAAGGAATATGAACCAGTCTTCAATATATTTCAAGAAAAGGAGACAACAAAAATAACAATGAAGAAAACAGAGATACCTCCCCCGGAGTTTCAATAAGTGGTTGCTTATCAGTTGAACCAATTATCTGTTCAGGATAAAAACCTTCCTGGCTGACATACCTATGGAAAGAGAATCCGTCAACTTTTGAGACAAAATCTCAATGTCGTAAGATTAAGACTTTATTTGGGATGGCTTTTTTATTGCTTCTTGATTAATTTTTGTACTAAAAAACTGCTTGAAAAAGCAACAAGAAAGTCGTTCCAAACGAAGCCTAAAGAAAGCAATGTATGCAGTTCTGCTTGGAAAAAACAAATGTTTAAGCCACTGCATGACTGAAAATTAAGGATCTGGGTGAATAAATAAATAACTTGTATGCATTATTAGATGATCAAGAAATTTTAAACAAAATAACTTAAAATCAATTATAGCAAAAATATGCACGAGGACTAAACAGAGAAGAAAAAGCTTAAAGCTAACTATTGCACTGATGAATTAGCAAAAAAAGGAAATGATTTGTCAGTCGATGCCAGAAAAATACAAATTGATTGAAGTAATTAGAGCTATTGAAAACAGTACCTTCGCTCAAAAATGACCAGTACAGTCAAGGAGTCACTTTGCAATAGATGCTTTGTATTAGCAGGTACGTAAGCAAAAAAGTCCGCCTGCATTGAGTAATTCAGCCATTAAAATCAAAGTGTTAAGTTTCATAAACATATAACTAAACAACAAAGATTATTTAGCTAACGTACATATCGTGAAACAGATTGGATGAAAGAAAACTAAAAGCATCAACTTACAAAAAAGCACGCAACCTTTGTTTAAATTTAAAAATACCAGCTTAATTTTTTGTGAACTATTTCTCTTATCTATAAAGAGTATTTGCAATCTTACATTGAGTTGATGGGTGATCCCAAAAGCATCTACTAATAAAGAACTGCCTTGAAGCACGAATACAAACCTGGATTAAGCATGTAAGTATTTAAAAGAATATATGACGTCATGCTATATTCCACAAAATTTATTGCAAATCAAATAAGACCATACATGGAGATAAAACAAGGCATAGACCCGGGGTGCAAAAATGCAAAAACTTAATAAGTATTCATCAAGCACAATGTGGATGACATAAAGTCGCAAAAAAACATACTAGTGTCAACTTACCAGAGGAAAACTAGTCTATATTGAACGTACGTACTTTAAATGATTAAGAAAAAGGCAAAGATGCTCCCTACCTTTTTGCTCATTCTCACATGAGAATCATATCGCAATATCGGTCAGATTCCCTCCGTTTAAGAAATATTATGTAATTATATCATTCATGAAATATTATCAAAATAAATTTGTAGGCCTCAGCATATACATTTCTCCAATCAATATGCTTAATTATACATACTTATTCTTAATTAAATAAATGTTGAGCGAAAAAAAAAACCAATGCACCTTGCAACATCTTTTGAAGGCAACGCCGATCTTGAATTCTCTGAATGACACAAGAAATTGATGCACTGTTAATAAGGACAGAGCTCACATAGAGTCAATAAACGTTACTCAATTGCTGCAAATACTGCTTTAAACAAAAAGCTTGGTAAAAAGCAGATAAAATTGCAATTTCTATTGGGTAAGTATACCACATAGCAAACAAACAATAAAGAGAAAATGCAGCGAAAAGAAAGAACACCAAGATTTAACGTAAAAAAACTTGAAACTGAGAGAAAACCACGGAACCACGCCACACAAAGAAATTCACTACAAAAATTTGGGAGAAATAATGCTATCTTCTCTCTCACTCTCCCCTTGTCTCTCTTCACTCTTGCGCTCGTTCTCATTTAGAACTAACAAAGAGATACAAATAAAATCACCTAACGGGTGCAACCCTTCAAGTTAAATAGGAGAAACGAGAAAAAAAAAATGCTCAGCCCGATTCGTAGCGCCAAGAGAAGTGCTATGGAGAGTTCTACATAATAAAATGGTTAATAATGCTTATATTCAAGTCATTAAGGATATGTATGGAGGAGTTGTTACTTGTGTTCAAACACAAGGTGGTTTGACCAAGTATTTTCCTATTTCAGTTGGATTACATCAAGGATCAGCCTTAAGCCCATGTCTTTTTGCTTTAGTCATGGATATTCTCACTAGACATTTGCAAGAGGTTGTGCCATGGTGTATGCTTTTCGCTAATGACATTCTTCTTGTTGATAAGACTAGAGAGGGAGTTGAAGGTAAACTTGAATTATGGAGGTCAACCTTAGAGTCTAAAGGCTTTTGTTTGAGTAGATCTACAACTGAATATATGGAGTGTAATTTTCGTAATAATAGAGATAGTGGAGGGATTGTGCCTTTGGGCGATCAAGTCATTAATAATAACACTAATTTTAGATATATTGGGTCTGTTGTTCAAAGTGATGGTGAAATAGATGAAAAAATTATTAGTAGAATTCAAGTTAGATGGTTGAAGTGGAGGAATGCATCGGGCTTGTTGTGTGATAGAAAAGTCCCCCTCAAACTTAAGGGAAAATTATACAAGATAGTAGTGAGACATGCAATGCTTTATGGTGCAAAATGTTGGGCATTAAAAGAGAAGAGTAATATTAAATTAAGTGTTGTAGAGATGAGGATACTCAGGTGATGAGTGGCTTTATTCTTAAAGACGGGATATGAAATGAGCATATATGTGAAAAGGTTGGAGTAGCTCCAGTGGAAGATAAGATTAGAGAGAGTCACCTTAGATGGTTTGGTCACATAAAATGGCGGCCTTCCGATGACCTGATTAGGAAAGTAGATGTATTTGATTTGACATATGTTAAGAAAGGTAGATGTATGCTTAAAAATATTTGGTTAGAAAATATTAGAAATGATATTTCTTTCTTAGATTTAGATGAGAATTTGACTCTTGACATGACACAATGGAGAAAGAGGATTCATGTAGCCGACCCCACATAGTGGGACAAAGGCTTGTTGTTGTTGTAGCCCGATTCATAGCGCCGTTGCGCTCCACTCTCTATCTTCAATTTGTTTAACAGCGCTACAGCGTCAGGGTATAGAGCGCCGCACCTCGGGGGTTTGGAGCGGCGCGGCCTTCTGCTCTCTATTTGTTTCCAACCAAACTATGTAGAGCTGTAGCTCTCGGGTACACGACTTTACAATGTTGTACGGTTGTACTGGGAAAAAATTCATGTGCAAAGCACCCGAACCCAAGTTGGGGGAGGACCTTCGACAAACTCGACCGCTGGAATTGAGGTCCGAGGTAACAGTGCAACTCAATTGATCGACACAATCATATTCTAAACAAAACTAATAATTTCTTGTGTGAATTCAACAAAAGTCCATTACAGCAAACTATTTGCACATTGAAATGAACTAATTTTTTTGGATAATTATATGCACCAATAAAAAGCCATAGGTTCCAAAACATTTATACATTAAAATCACTGAATGACTTTATTCTTGAATATAATGCATAGGGCTTAATAGATTTACATAACTCATTGGTTGAAACATCTATATTTATTTACCTTTTAATGTGCTAAAGAATTAACCTTTTTCACAGGGAAGCAAAAATGTTGCTCATTTAAGACTAGATGGAAAGCGGAAAATCAGATGATTGAAAGACTATATTGTCATGCCTTCCAAGACCCTGTATTAACGGGAGGTCAATACATGAGGTTTGCCCTTTTTAAAACAATATTACTGTGCCCTGTACTAAAAGACTTGTATTAAAGGCTAAGAGGCCACTTTGAACCAGGTCACTTTTCAGGTTTAATCTTCAGAAACTCTTCCTGCCATGCTCCGTTTCCTTCCCACACCATTACTCATCATCAATCAATAGCTTATGTTCCTTTGCCAGGTTTCCATACAAGTTTGCCATCCCCAGCTTAACAAACATGCTCCAGAAGATCATGCTTACAATAACAGAACCTGTTGGGAAAATATTTCTACTTGCAGAGCTTGATTTAACCATACATCATCCAAATATTATATATTCTAATTAACAGTGGTTCCCCTACCTTGCATCTTCACCAAGTACATTGTAAAGTGAGAACCAGTTGCAGGACTGATCAAATAAGCTCCCAGTGCATTCACCCTATAAAATGCAAGGCAAAAATTTCATTATATGCTGATAATTTAACGTGAAAGATCGAATAGAATTAGCAAAATCAAACATAATCGGTATGATAAGAGGGTGATCTCTAACTAAGTGTTTATATACTTCGAAATTGTTACCAATTTGGCAGAGGACTAAATACTTGGCTTTCCGGAGTGATTAGGGCATGGTCTCTTTTATATACACTGCGAGTAAATCCTGGGAGATCTGCAGTAAGTAAAACCGTTTAAAAATGATATAGATAAATTGCATTAAGCAAGGTTAATCACAATTCACAAACTAGTACAATAAACAAACTCAAGTAGCATAACGCATACAAGCAAAAAATAATAATAATTGCGTCCGCAAAAGAAAACATATCCCAAGTATCACAAAATTTAGCTTTAACTTTCATGCATCTTTCGGTAACCCGCCTCATCGCTTCAGTTGAATCCGAGCGAAAGAATAAAATTCAAGTTAACCAATAGTAGTGGTGTTACCGTGTGTACAAAAATCACATAAAACTTCAACCACAATCTTCCCGAGAAGACAAAAATATGTAGTTCAACAGATAAGAGATGGATAAGCAGAACACGAAAAGCCTTTACCAATTGCGACCGACAAGCTGGGAATCGTCGTCGAAAAGATTCTAGCTTGTGGTTGCCAAAAACACGGATGACAAAACTAAAACAACAGGAATCCTGAAAAGGCAAGCGTCTTTTCATTGATTCAAGATTACCTTGAAGGTGGGAAGGGGAGAGAGTTGGGTTCGTCACTTTCCAGTAGTTTGGTTGGGAGTTTGGCTTGGAATGTAAAGAAGGAACGGAGCAGAAACCCTCATCGGGCGCCGAAGCATCAGATGTAATCGCCAGATGGAAGAGTAACGGGAGTACAAGAGCTTGTGCGCCACTGTGCATTTTCGAGATTCAGCGGCGAATCTGAAAGAACCAGGTGAGGGAATCTCTGTCGAAGGAACTTGGGTAGTAAGGCTTGCGCTCACCAGGAATAACGAATTATATTGCGCCTCCAACCCAGCGCAACGAATTGAATATTTTAGTTTATTCAGTGTTGCTCAATTTTAATTAAATTAAAGTTTTTTTTTTCTATTTAGGAACAAAGCTCAATATCATTGACTAGAAAAGAATAGTTATCTCAAGGAAAACAAACAGAACTATAAATGAAAGAAATAAAAATTACCTGAGTAAGAAAAGATGAAAAAGTCGCACAGCGCTTCTGACTATTGATTTGGACCCATTTGGGCTCAGTTTTAGTTAAATTTGGTATCGTTGGGTTCGTACTTTCGAGACGTTCGGTTCGATAGTAAGTTTGCGGAAAATGGAATTTGGATGGTCCCAATTTTAATTTCAGAAGTTTCCAACTTGATTTTGTCTCGAGATTCGTGCCTGATCAATATAATTTTTCGAGGATGTATCAATACTCAAAGAGTTGCAGTATGTTGGACCTCGTCAAAAAAATCCCAGCCCAAGAAAAAAATGAGTAATAATATTATAAGAGAAATCACATTCAAGCAAAATGTGAGTTCTTTTCTCATAATTATTGCACAAAAGACATGTGGCCAGCATATGAATACCACGCCTATGAAGAATGTCAACAACTTTTTAGCCCACCTAGAACAACTAACTAAGCATAACTTGGATATCTTAAAGAGAAGTTTTATTCAAATAAAGTCATGCTGCGAGGGAAAATTATTGGGTTCGGACACCGAATGTCTTCCATGAGAAACCTACAAGCAAAGCTCAAGGAAGACGAAGCAGAGATATTGGATGAAAATGATTTTCTATGTTACTGTAGCGATAGGATGTAAGTGTTTAAATACACCAATGAGCATAAAGAGAAGGCTGAGGTTTTTACTATATTGCCTTCAAACAGTTACATAAAGTGTAAAGCTGCGAAAAGTTGAGGAGTTGAATGGCGGCGTAGTGGAGCTCGGAGTTTTTATTCCAGTCTGCTTATCATTCTATAGCCCAATGAAAATATGTCACATCACCTCTTACTCGGTATCAAGCTTGATTTTGCTCAGTATCGAGCTCGGTACTACTCTGTATCGCTCAATACCAAGCTCGGTACTGAGTTGTACCAAGCAGTACCGAACTCGGTACTACTTGGTACTAGATGACGTGGCTGCACTTGATTCGTCTATGGACGATAAGCTGCATCCGATGTCCGAACTCAATAATTTTCCTGCCGTGAGAGAGTGGGGGAGTCAACAAAATAATTCCACGAAATCTTTGAAAATAAGGGACGCTAAATCTCCCAGAACAAATCATCCCCATCATGGCTCAGAAGACAAATATGTATAATGGCATTTCTAGAATCCATATGTGATGAATCTGGAAAGCACCATGTGCCATTAATTATAAAGTTAGTGATGGAGGGGCGAGAAGGGAAGAATGAAAGGAGACTAGAGCCAGAAGTTTAATAAATGGATTTACCTTTGTACTAGGGGTCCAGCATGAAGGAAAAGTTAGAGGAAGCAATAATGTGGAAATTAAAGTTGTTTTTAGATTTCACCGTGGTGAGAAAAATATTTTACTTTAACATAAGGGATATGAGTGGATATTAGGTGTGTCAATTTTTGACACGATCCGAAATCAGATCCGGACCCGATCCGGAATAATTCGGGTTCGGGTCGACACGTTTGTGAAACGGGTCGGGTTCGGGTTAAACAAACCGATCCGTTTTAAAAATCGGGTCGGGTTCGGGTTGACCCGGCAACCCGAAGATGACCCGAAACCCACTGCCCGAGCCTGCTGCCCGCCCTGCCTGAAACGTCGCTTCACAGTATCTTCGCGTTGCCCGAAGCGTCGAATCGAGTCGCAGTCGCGTACTCGCATGCTGGCGTCGCTGCTTGGCTTCGCGTGCTTCCGCCGCGCCATCGTGGGGTTTGCCGTCGCGTGCTTCCACCGCTGAGCGCTTACACCGCGCGGGGTTTGCATACTCGCGTGTTGCCGCTGCGACGATGCTGCCGCTGAGCGCCTGCGTCGCTGCAGCACTGCTTCGCCTGATCGCATTTCGCGCTCGCGTGAGCCTGCTGCCGCGGTGCCGCCGCAAGGCGCCGCTACTTCGCCTTGCATGAGTGGTGAGCCTGCTTAGTGCTTCGCCTACGCCTGTGCCGCTGCCCGCTGCGAGCCTGCTGCCGTCGTGGGGTTCGCCGGGAGTAGCAACCGCGCGTTTGAGATTTAATTTCAAAAAAAAAATGGGTCGGGACGTGTCAACCCGGCAACCCGCGCGGTTCGGGTCCGGGTTGACAAAGCTGACCCGTTTGTAAGAACGGGTCGGGTTCGGGTTGACCCATTTAGAGCCGGATCAAATCGGGTTCGACCCGAACCCGACTCGTTGACCTGAATTGACTGTGAAAGCTATTTTTCCTTCCAGGTTCGTCCGGGACGATCAGTACAGGTTGTAAAGAAATTTTTGGACAGAGAAGTTCGTCCAAAATTTCTGGACAAAATTTTTCTCGAGAGCAACTCGTCCATGTACGATTACTGTACACATCTGAACGAATTTTTTCCAGAGAGCAAATCGTCCCGGGACGATTTGCGATCGTCTGGGACGATCTGGTTGGATATATATGGAAATTAGATCTTTTGAAGAGAGAGAAAAGCCCATGAGAGAGAAAACTAAAAGAAAAAGAAGAAAACGTGATTTTTGGGCGACTTCTGTCCGTTTCCGTCCGTAGCTGCAGTTGAGAAAGTTGACCGACTCGATATAAGGCACATTCTGCCTTTCTCAATTTTCCGAAACGATGATTTTGACAATTTTCTGTTGCGGATTTTGTTTCCGTTAGCGAATAATTGATTCCGTTTTGTACTGATGAACTTTTTACCGCGTAACTTTTGGTATGTTTCTGAGATGATAAATGTGCACGTTTTGAGTTTTTTCTGAAATATTTTTACCAGGTATTTTGAATTCTACGGAGTTTTGATCGAATAACAATTTATCTGGATGTCTTAATTTACTATCTTAGTACAATGAAAGTCTTAGAATGATGTTTTGCACTATTTGTGATAATTTGGTAAATTTCTGAATCTGTGAATTTTGTGTAAATTCCGTATACTGGCGTTATGTCGCTGACGATTTTTCTGACGAAATTTGATTTTCTGAATTAAATGTTTGATGTGCTATGATATCAAAAGGGAGTCATAAGGGGTCAGAATCCTTTGAGGTTCTGTCAGTGTCAAGGAAATCTGAGAAATCTGAAAATAAGTTCTGTTCTGAAAATTCTGTATATATGTTATGTTCTAATGCTATAAGCACAAAGGGAGACATAAGGGGCCAGAATCTGAGATTCTGTCAGTGTTAGGGAAGGGAGGCATAAGGGGTCAGAATCCGTCGAGATTCTGTCAGGGTCAGGGATATCTGATATGTGATATGTGAAATGTAATATCTGAAATGTGATTTTATCTGATTTGAATTCTAATTTGTACGATCTGATCCGTTCTGTGATTTGAAAGTTTTATAAGATCTATTATGCACTCTGATTTGAATTCAAGTATATGTTCTGTCTGATTATATGAATTATGTCTGATATTCTGATTTCTATACGATTATCTGATTTATGTACTGCTATTTGAATAACTGTTTCTGATGTGAATTTATTGAGATTTTGATTGGTGAGTGTAGTCTTGCTGAGCTATTAGCTCATCCTTGTTTTCTGCGTGACTTTCAGGTTCTGGAAAAGGGAAGGAAGTCTTGGACTAGAAGTTCTGTATGTGATCAGTGATTAGGTATTTTGTACTTTTGATTTTTGTACAGTCATGATTTTTCTGATCTGTTCTTTCTATCTGTAAGCCATGAACTGTATTGTACATGATTATTTTAATGAAAGAAATATAGATGAAGTGTTATGTATATTTGGAAGTCTATAGCAACTCTGTGTTTCTGTTTGTTTGAGTATCTGGAAAGTTCTGAAGCAAGTACCAAAACTAGATCCTGGATTTCAAGTTTCAAGTTACGTCGCGACTCGATGCGAGCTGGATTTGTTCCGGTCGAGTTGGGTCGTGACATTGACACCCATAGTGAATATCTAGTTTCGATGTGAGAAATCTTTACCCTATATCTGATTTCAATAATTTTGTATTTTTTTTATCAAATTTGTTTTTTTATTACCGAAAAAAATGATGATAAGTTTGTATTTGTAAAACTTTTATCACATAATTTTTTGTATGTGATATATCTCATTGATATGAACATTTTGACGACAACATATTGAATTTTCACCTGTTAAATTGAAATATATAATTTTTGAAGTAAATGCATAATATATAAATATCATATATTTATATGTATTTATACATGTCTACATTTTGTGCATGATATTCACTGGCATTGTATAGAAAAATGATAGCGTTTGCATGTACACAAGGAAAGTTGACATTTAATACTATAATGAATATAAGTTAGCTCTTAAAATATAATACCCTGTGTAAGAAGGTGGGTTGATGCCTACAGTACCCATGTCTAGGTTCTTAGCATTGGCACAATAACTTACAATATCAATAATCAAACCCAATCTTCTGTTAGCAGCAGAACATAATTGGCATGGTTCAAATGACAAATATACAAGCTATTCAAATTATTTGATGATGACCGTGTTGAATGTTTATCTTAACCGGATAAAACTCTACTTTCTAAATGGCTCCAAACTCTTACAAAATACAAATATTTTTAAATGACTTTAAAAATCTTAATGATGTCTGTGTTGAAAGCTAATTTTAAATGGAGGGGACTCTACTCTTTCAAATGCCTCCAAACTTTAATAAAATACAAATATTTTAAAATGACTTTAATTTCACGTGATAATGACCGTGTCTAAAACTAATATCAACCGCGAGGGGTTAATTTTTGAATTCTATCAAAGCTCCAAAGCTCTACATCTATTAATAATTTTAATATTTAAAATTAATATTTAATAATCCAATAATTTAAAGCAAAATCATCTACCCTTACCAGTTGTTTGATGAATGCAATGAACTCAAGGATAACTCTAGCTCACAAAGAGAAAATATATAGTCAAGAATAGTACTTCGATTCATTCTCAAAATTCATTATGCCAGAAAGGACGTGACATATGTCCTCTAACCAGTGGCTTAGCCAGTACAACTCCACTTTAACTCGTAGCTTGGCCAAATTGCTTTACTTGGTATGATTATGACTAGTCCTCTAATAAATGGTTTGGTTATATGACTTCGCAAAGAATGCGTGGCTTGGCGAGAACGGCTCCACGTGGTTAATGATTATGATCACGACCCTATGACATAATAGTGTGGTCGATCCACTCCACTGTATTACGGTCATGGTTAAAAGTATGTATGTTCCCCAATGATTATTTACAGTTGAGTAATAAATCATAAGGTATAATCGATAGGGCACAAAGCCCTCTATTAGCTATGGTTGACTTGAATTCACCCATTAGTCAAACATTCACCCAATATTTATAAGGTACCCTTGGACTAAACAACCCATGGCTACCGACAATGATCATTCGGTTAGGTTTGGTAGACCACCTCATATGACTAAGTAGACTATGGATTATGATGACTCGGGACGACATAATCATGGGATCTTAATCAGATTCATCATCATTTCGTCACCATCCACTTTATGTGATAGTTGATAAATTTATTATTTTTTAACTATCCAAATATGCTACTACGTATCTATTTAACGACTAACCTTAATCGAAAGTTCTCTCTCGTTATTGGGATGCTTAATTAACTATAGGGGCTTGCGTCTATAAGAAACTAGAACTCAGATCTTAAAGCCTTCATTAAGACTGTGAAATCTCTAGATAGTGTCTTATCTTTATCTAATATGCCTCCTAAAATTTCTCCCAAAACTTAACCCGTTAAAATTATCTCTGAATATGACATGGAGAGCGTTGGGGCTCTAAAGCTCAAATTTTTGGAGCCTGCACCAACACACAATCTAAGCTTCATCGCACAAACTTTTTATCTCCTCGCATGCAGACGATATTATTGTTGCGGGCTAGAATATACGCGGCGATAGAGTTAGAATACTACGTCTTAGCGTTGCACGAGTATCCAGCTTACACATGATTTTTTATGTGGAAAACCCTTAAAAGGGGAAAAACCACGGGGCCTAGCCCAGTTGAAAAGATTTCACTAAAACTTGAGTTGGTTACAATGTGTTAAATCGCCTCTGAGGGCGATCAGATTATAAGTAACAATTGTACAATAGATGTCCAGGTGTCGGGTAATGGTCTGGCAGGACTTCGGGCCTTAGATGATGATCTGGCAGAACTCCGGGCCTTAGATGATGATCAGGCAGAACTCCGGGCCTTAGATGAATGTCTGACAGAACTCCAGGTTTTAAGTGAAGGTCTGGAGAAGCGTAGGACGTTCGACGAAGGCGAGGGCCTCAGGTGATGGTCCGGTGAAGCACAGGACGTCAGGTGATGGTTCGATGGAGCACAGGACGTCAGGTGGTGGTCCGGTGGAGCACAGGGCGTCAGGCGGTTGTTCGGTGGAGCAACGGCGTCAGGAGGTGGTCCGGTGGAGCATACGGCGCCAGGTGGAGATCCAACGGAGCAACAACGTTAGGCGGTGGTCTGGTGGAGCGACGGCATTAGGCGGTGGTCCGGTAGAGCCTAGGGCGTCAGGTGGTGGTCCGGCGGAACTCCGACGGTGGTCCGGCGAAACTCCGTCAGTGACAAGAGCGATCTCCGATCTCTCTCTTTTTTCCTTAGGCTTCTGGGGGGGGGGGGCCTTTTCAAGAGGAGAGGGGGCTCTATTTATAGATTTTGGGAATGGTATGGCCCGTAAATAGGAGGAGGATCAAGGGTTAGTTGGGAGTGGTTGGTTGGACGGCCGATCTTGAATCCCTTGATCATGAACCGTTCGATGGACGTTTGAATGTCGTAGTGATGTCGGAATTCAGTGATCTTGGGCTCGTTGGATTCTTCTCGTTGAGCCGCTCGATTCGACTATAAGTTTGTTATGTTTGGAAGCCATCTGGTAATCCAAACTGTGGTTTGAACCTTCCAACATTGTTTCGGGTCCTTGATTTGGACCTATTGGGGCTCAAATTGGGTCGAATTTGGTGTCGTTGGGTTCGTATTTCCGAGACGCTCAGTTTGCCAGTAAGTTTGCTGAAATCGGATATCGGATGCTCTTGATTTTAATTCCGGAAGTTTCTAACTTGATTTTGCTTTGAGATTCGTGCCCGATCAAGATAATTTTCGGATGATGTATCAATTATTATTACCTTCCCTATGAGTTCCACATCATGTTGTTGATCAAACGATGCTTTACCAAGCATGATCTTTCATGTGATACTTTCCCTAATGTGGTTTAATGGTTTCAACAATGTCTTTCTTAGTAATCCATCTTGTGAGGAATGAGTTTCATACATTGTCGAGAAAAAGGGTTCAAACCACATCCGAACCATGTTTGAAAACTATCACAATGAATGGAGAGAAAGAAGTGCCATTAAAGGACGTTTGAGCAAGATACATGACAAGATGGAAGGAAGAAGGAACTTCCCTATTTTGTTTTATTATGTCTTACTCATTGTACTCAAATTTTTATATAAACCATTTACACAGTTTTTCAAATCCGTGAAAAAACCAAATCAAGTACAATGCTTGTGTGAAATCCGTGTGTGAATATAAATAATAAAAGAAAAGAAGAGTAAGGTCCTAATACTCCTCAACATGAGCTATATATATTTCTGATAGATGTCTTTGATAGGTGCAATTTTAATGAACTGACTGGTGGTGGCTTTGTAAATATGTCCGTGAGCTGCAACTCTGATTTGACAGGCATTAATTTAATGAGGATATTTTTTTGTGAATTAGAAATTATATTCTTATATAATTTTATATAATGAGGTTTAAAAATACATAATAATTTAATAGCATTTAATGACAGTTTTTAGAGTAATTATATTAGGAAGGAGTTATTTTTGGTCCTCATTCCAATTAGGGGCGTTAAAAATTAACACAACTCGACATTCGACCGGAAAAAAATCGGATTCATATCAACCCGTTTGTGAGACGGGTTGGGTCTGGATTTCTAACCTGTTTGAAAAAGAAATTAGGTTCAAGTTGAGCCAACAAACCGAAGTCAAACCGGATTGAACCGTTTTGTCAACCCGTTCGTCAGGACTTAGGCGTCATGCCGCATTGCGCGTTAGGGGTGTCACCGAGTCGGGCTGCGCCCGCATCAGGTGTCGCCGTCGTTGGTCCAGCTAGCACAGCCGCGAGGCCCACACTACCACTGCTACTGTTGCTGCCATCTTGCCCGAGCTACCGTTGTTGCCATCCATCCCGCATGTTGCACTCATTGCCTCTGTCGATGCATTCGCTCCGCCAGCCTCAAGGTTCAGACTCGATGGACGAGCTCAGCTCCGCAGCCTCCGCTCTGCAGCTATTCACAGGTCGGGTCGTGTCAATCCGGTAACCCATTGATAAATCTAACCATTTGTAAAACTGGGTCAAATTAAGGTCAACCCCTTTATGATCGGATTAAATCGGATTTGACTCAGAATCAGACCGATTGAACCAAATTGACACCTTAACTCCAATCAGCTATAAATATACGCGGATTTTTTTTTTTATATACACTCAGTAGAACAGAGAAAAAAAAAACCCCTTTTACTCGCGGCTAATTTCTCCTGTTTCGAAACCCGCGACGTGCAAACGAGGGGGAAGTCGCGACTGGTAATCGCTGGCGAAGGCATCGACGGATGCAGAGGAAGAAGAGGAGTACGTAATGCTTGCCCGGATTCAATCATTCAAGGCAAAACAGTCATGAAACGAGATTTAAGATTATGTAGGCTTTAAAATGGTCATTTGGTCCGTTTGGCGGGATTTAGTTTAAGTCCAACCTAAATCCTGCGTAAATCCTGCTACGAACGCAACCAATTGATTTCTATTTCCCTCTAGCTGAACGACGCCCTTCTCTTCGCCACCTTTCGTCCTCACCCGCTTTTCGACCTAGCTCGTATAGTGCGGTCGAATTCTCGATGGATTCAAGCAAAGAAGATGCCGATCGGCCCACAGAATCCCCATCCGCGCAAGTATCCCAATTTGTGATCTTTTGATCTTCTTCTATTTCATGTCTTTTGCTCTTTTTTAGTGCGTCGATCCGATCCTTGTCTTGTGGAAATGAAGTGTTTTTTTATTTTTGAGATTTCCTCTTACAGGCCGAAACACCCTTATAAGGACCCCGACGATGGCCGCCAGCGCTTTTTGCTGGAGCTGGAGTTTGTGCAGTGCCTAGCCAATCCAGCATATATTCACTGTGAGCTAATTATGCTATTTCTTTCTTTCTTTCTTTCTTTCTTTCTTTCTTTTTGTATCACATGTTTCTAAGCCATTAGATTCTAGATCACATCTCACGAATCTGCTTGAATTCATGTTGTTTTTTATTCCTCATCTCATTCATGATTTACCAAGCAAGAATAATCTATAAAGTGCTGTCCTGCTTCATTTCTTGTGCAGATTTGGCTCAAAACCGTTATTTCGAAGATGAAGCTTTTATTGGATACTTGAAGTACCTTCAGTACTGGCAAAGACCAGAGTACATAAAGTTCATCATGTCAGTAAAAAATATGATATTTCTGCTATTTTGAAGTTAAACATTACCTTCCAATCGCATGGACATGTAAAATTTGACTTTATTTAGGTTGCTAATTCAACCTATGTAGTTCTGGATATGTTCAGGTATCCACATTGCCTTTTCTTCCTAGAGCTTCTGCAGAATGCAAACTTTCGTAATGCAATGGCTCATCCCGGAAGCAAGGTTTGCATTTCTGGAGAGTGTCATCTTGAGACGTTTTAACCTTTGCAATATGCCATAGCAATCTTACTCTAACAAGCGTTTGTTTGTCTTTCTCATTTCTCCTTTTTTAATGCTTTTGCTTACACGATTCTATTATCAGTTTTTTTTTTCTTTGAAATAAAATTCTTTTACATTATTTAAGTGAAAATATCAACATTGAGTTAATGCCCTTTTGTTTATATTATGAATATGCTTACAGGGGATATTCAAAATTTACTTCATTGGTGCATGTTTTTTTGTAGATGATATTATTCTAATTAGTGATCTGTCCACTAGTATTATTAAAAATAAGTACAATGGAGAAGATTTTTAGAAGATAGAGGCTTTAGAATTTGTAAAACCATTACGGATTGTATGCTATGTAATTTTAGTGGGTATTCATGTTAACAATTATCATTCAATATTGTTAGAAGAAAAACATAATTCCTAGGCGCATGAGATTTAAGTATATTAGGTCTATCATACAGAATAACTTATAGATTTAAGGTTAAATGGTTAACATGGAGAAATGCGCAGGGTGTTGTGTGATGAGAGGCTATTACAGAGACTTAAATGTGGATTTGATAAAAATATGATTACATTGTTGGTGCTGTATGCCCAATGGTTGTAAATAATACATTGATATTTAAGTTGGATGTGTCCTAAATGGCTAAATGATAATGTTAAGATTGATATATAATAAAATTAGTAGTATAAACAAATGAATGTTTATATTTGAAAAAAATCTTTGAGCGATATCTATTAAAGATAAGGTGATTAAAAATAAATTTAGGTGGTTTGAACATACATAACTAAGTATAGAAAATGTGTTTGTTAGATACGTTGATAAAATTAATATAAGAGAATTAGGAAAGAAAAGATGCCAATCAAAGGTTTCATGTATAAGTTGCTCAAAACACTTTGTAAAGAATATATTTAACTGCTTAGGAAATAATTAATACGAATGAATGAAAAAAAAAATGAAGATTCATAATGCCGACCACAAATAGTTGGGATAAGGCTAACGATGATGACGATGATATTGATTTTAAGATACAAAAGGGTCATAGGTGATTAATTTGGCAATAATATCTGTAGCAATAAAAGTAGTTAGTTTTGTTATCCAAAGTTTGAATGTAAATTTTGTATACATTTTCAATAGTATAAAGAAAATGTTGATTATGTAATAACCTTTTGATTGAGAGTTGCAATAAAAATTGGAAGACTTGTTAGTGTCATGCAGTATATAACAAATCACTCTTATCATCATCATTTTCATATCCAAACTGTTTCGGGTTGGTTAATAGTTTGTTGTGATGTATTTTTCATATGCTATGTGTATCGTATCATTATGAATGTTGTAAGGAAAATGTCATGAGTTAATGTAGATGTGCATTAGGAGTAAAGTACAATGCTGACAAAGTACAACACAAAATAGATCAAGCAAACACAAAGAAAGAGAGACATCAATATTTATTTACTTCAACTTGAACAATGCTTATGTTCATGAGAGAGAGGATCCAATCCCTTATTTGTTTACAAGAAATGAACAGTCTGTAGTCCTTTTCAAAGTCCAAGTACATCATTTCTCAATCAAAAAAGAAGTTCAAAGAAACATCATAATAGGTTTACATCACAAAGATGCTCTTCTCATATGAACTACAAAATCCCAGGGGAGAGATCTTGCATATGTAGGCAACAATCCTTACAACAATAACAACAATTCTTTATCCCACTATATGGGGTTGGCTACATGAATCCTTTTTCTTCATTGTGTCATGTTAAGAGTTAAATTCTCATCTAAATCTAATAAAGAATGGTCATTTCTAATATTTTCAAACCAACTCTTTTTAGGTCTACCTCTACCTTTCTTAACATAAGTCAAATCTAATATATCTACTTTCCTAACCCGGTCATCGGAAGACCGCCATTTTATGTGACCAAACCATCTATGACGACTCTCTCTAATCTTATCTTCTATTGGAGCTACTCCAACCTTTCACGTATATGCTCATTTTGTATCTCTCTCTAAGAGTAAAATCACTCATCCACCTGAGCATCCTCATCTCCGCAACACTTAACTTAATATTATGCTTCTCTTTTAATGACCAACATTATGCACTATAGAGCATTGCAAGTCTCACTACCATCTTATAGAATTTTCCCTTAAGTTTGAGATTGACTTTTCTATCAAACTAAAAGCATACGCCAGGGTACATCCTCTTGCAAAAGTCTAGTGAAAGCATCCATGGCTAAAGTAAAAAGATACGGGCTTAAGGCTGATCCTTGATGTAATCCAACTAAAATAGGAAAATACTTGGCCAAACCACCTTGTGTTTGAACACAAGTAACAACTCCTGCATACATATCCTTAATGACTTGAATATAAGCATTATTAACCCCTTTGTTATGTAGAACTCTCCATAGCACTTCTCTTGGAACTTTATCATTTGCTTTTTTTAAATCAATTAAAATCATTTGTAGATCCTCCTTATTCTCTCTATACTTCTCGTCAAACCTCTCAATATAGCTTCCATAGTCGACCTACCTTGCATAAATCCAAATTGATTTTGAGAAACATTAGTGTCATGTCGCAATCTATGCTCCATAACTCTCTCCCATAGTTTTAAAGTATGACACATTAACTTAATTTCTCTATAATTCACACAATCTTGTGCATCACCTTTATTCTTAAAAATAGGAATCAACACACTCATTCTCTACTCATCTGACATCTTTTTAGTCTTCAAAATAGTATTAAAAAGTTTAGTAAGCCAAAAAATTCCTTCATCTCCTAAGCATTTCCACACCTCCATTGGAATATCATCAAGTCCAACAGCTTTTTCACACTTCATTTTATTTAAAGCCTCTTTAACTTCGGTTTTACTAATATGCCGATAAAAACAAAGATCTTTATTTTCATTTAGGGTGCTAAGGTCACTAAAGTCAATCGCATTATCATACTCTTCATTGGAAAGTTTAGCAAAATATCTCATCCACCTTTATTGAATATCCTCTTTTAATAAAATCACTTTGTGATCTTCATCTTTAATACACTTCACTTGAACTAAATTCTTACTACTCCTATCTTTTTGTTTAGCTAATTTATACATATATTTTCGTCTTCATTAGTATCTAATCTATTATATAAATCATTAAAAGTTAAAATTTTTGCATTGCAATATTTTTTACATCTTTTTCTTAATCCAATTATATTGGTTGAAGAAATTAACAATTCTTCCCATTGCTCTATTGCTGCAAAAACTTGAATCTCCTATGCAACTTATCTCCAATCATAGCACTTTAAGCTCTCAAAACCTCGACGGGCTTAACACTACACAATGTCATTTGATTTAGATGACCCCTAAATTGAAGCATTAAAGTGTATCCATTGAATTTCATATGCTATGAAATTTTTGTGCCTTTAAGTGGTTATCTTCTTGCCTTGAATGCAGACTTGACATCAGGATAGATTATAATACAAATATAATCTTTGATCCATTTTTGAAGTTCTTCCAGCATTGCATGTATGGTTTTGTTGCGAATTTTTTACTAAAATGAGGAAACTTTCTTTTTCCTGCTTCCCCAAAATGCAATGCTCCAATGCAAATGAAAACATAACTAAGTAGCTCTTGAAATTTGAGTCTCATGGCAATCAAAGCACTATTGCAAATCTTGAGGGCCTTAGCATCACTAAAATATATTCACCTGCATTACTCAAATATATTTCATTCTTTGATCGGGTACATGCCTGATCCCATCAAAATTTCTAATCACATTATAATGTGTACTCAATCTTATATATATAACCACCACTTGTCTCATAACTGTAAAATACTCCTTATCTCAACCCATAATATGAATAGGACAATTCAAGAACTTGCTTATCAATGCACTCGAATTTTGCAATCATAGAAAGAACATCACCGTAATCTATATATTTGCATAAGTTTTTTTTTTTGGTTTGTTTCTTGCCTGCTTCTTTCTATTTAACACTTAATAATCTCTTTTGATGTTTCATTACTTCTTGGCTCTTGCATTAGAAATACATTTTATTCTTACTAACAAACTTGTTCCAGTGGCATCCCATACAACACAATTTCACGAAAATGCTTATATGAGGGAGGTAAAGAGCACAAGAATATCAAAGCTTGATTTTCATCATTCACAATTATATCAATATACCACAAATCATGGATAATGTAATTAAGCTAATTCAAATATAACTTAATTATCATCCCTTATGAAGTGTGAAGCAAATGGAGCCTTTGTTTCTAATAGCATTTCTTAGAGGCTTTAGGTCAAAACTTGAGCTTGAGTCACATTCTTGTTTCCTCCAAAACCTCCATCAATACCTCGTCCACCAAACACATATTGTATCATCAAAAGAGCTTTTTAATCCATATCTGCCACCTTTTTTGGGTTATGATTGTTGACATATTCAAATGCCCAATGAGTGCTTTCATAAGTTAATGTTAAATTATAATACCACACAACTTGGTTCTCCAAAGGGCAAATCTTTTGTTCTTGATTTTTTTTTTTGTAACTACTCCGAACTATGCTATAATATCAAATTGTTATAACGCAAAAATTATCATCAGGAGCAAAGTATATTGTTTCACAAAGTAAAAACATAAAAGAGATCTAGCAACACAGAAAGAAAGAAAGAAAGATATCAATATTTATGTGGTTCAGCTTGAGTACAACTTATATCGACAAGGGAGGAGAGAAAATCTAAAGGAACAGTCATGATCCCATCCCAATGCCCAAGTACACCCACTTGAAATCAAATAAGAAACTCAAAGAAACTGTCACAATAAGTTTACCTCACAAAGTTGTTGTTTTTTTGTTTTTGTTTTTTGTTTTGTATGCACCATGAGATTCTAGCTGAGAGGGTATGAAGTTATCAATCCTCAAGAAACCATAGTTGCTGATGTAGTAGAGAAACTGAGAATGAAAGAGAGTTCAATCTTGAACAAACCGTTTTTGCTAATAGTTACCCCATAATGGGGAATTCCATGTTAAACAACTTTATGAAATTATCTGCATTATGATTTTCTTGCAGTCTTTTAAAGCTTTGAGTGATTACTTCTGTGTTTTAACTTTCATGAATAACATGCTATTGTGAGTTCAGATTCTGATATGAATGGGAATAGATTTGACATTGCTTTTCCTAATTATTTAGGAGTTGGCCCACCGACAACAATACTTCTTTTGGAAGAACTATAGGTACAATAGACTAAAGCACATTGCACCTCGTCCTCTTCCTGAGGCAGCCGTTGCTCCACCTCCGACTCCACCTGCTCCAATGCCCCCCATGCCTGTGGCTTCGGCACCAACCCTTCCGCCAATGCAAGTTGTTGGACAACCTGGATCTGCTCCTCCCAAAGTTGACATGAGAAACAGCATGGTGGATCGTAGAAAGAGAAAGTACATTCTTATCTCTATCACACATGTTTTAAAATCTTCTTCATGCAAAACTTCTTAACTTATAAAGGTTTATAATTTAATACTCATTTGTGAGCGTGATTGTTTTTTGTCAAAAAGGTACAATTGAATTTCTTATTGTGGTATGCACCTTGATTTTTTGTGTCTTCTAATGAATTTAAGGTTTTTTGTTGAAATTTATTTGATTTAGATTATTTTTAAAATATCACTTAGTAAAAATTTATCGGAATTTTTTAGCTACATCAAAAGAAGCCAAATAATTGTTTTTTAACTGATAGTCTTTACACCTTGGATTCTAAATTGGAATGTTTGAGTTTCATTCATTGCATCATTTCATTGTACTACAAATCATATATTCTAAGACATCCTGTTTTATTTTGTTACACTAAATTTCATCGTTAGTGATTTCATTATTGCCTACTAATTGTATTCTCACCAATATTCTTATTTTATACAATGCAACTATGATATCTAAATTTAAGAGACCATGGAATGTTTTGATCCTCCATTAGTATAGATTCGGTATTATTAATGCCATATCCACTAAAATAATTATCATTGGCCCAATCTTTATTCTATTAAACCTTCCCTTATATCCTAATGTTTTGATGTCCTCAGTTTAATATTCTTCTACTCAATGCATTGTAATTATGTTCTCTGTCAGTAACACATTTTACATATTTGTAAGAGGATTTTCTTTAAAGGAGCATGGTGTTTAATTTAAATTAGAAATATGATCAACGTATTAAAAAAATTTAGAAAAAAAAAACAAACTAGCAAACAAAATGACGCATTCCATTGAATGCACCAAACTGTTTGGTGTATTTAGAGCAAGCCAAACAGTTTGACGCATTCAATGGAATGCACCATTCTGCTTGGCGTATTGCTACAGTATTTTTAGAATTTAGTTCAGTTGATTAGGGTGAATGCGCCATTTTGTTTTGGAAATATTCTTTTTAAAATTTTTGGTAATACTCTCTTATTCCTAATTTAAATTAACCAACATGCTCTTTTTAAAAAAAAAAAATCCTTTCTAGGAAGCACATTCATGGTGGTTGTAAAACATGTGGGCTTTAATGCTAATTCATGAATGCTCAAATAGAATGCCATGTACTTGGTGGTCCTAAACATTATATACCTTTGAAATCTTTCAGATATACCAATTCGATAATTCTGAGGAAGCCCTTTTTTTGTGTAACAGAAATATGTAACTGGCTTGAAAATATTTTATGCTGCAGGAAGGAAGGTTGAAGAATCAAATAGCATTTATTTATTATAAAAAGCTACGTACTGAATACAGGTAAACTTTTTTCTCTATATTAAGTTTTATGCTGTTTGCGGGTGGCTTTTTCCTTAAAACTTTCATTATTACTTTCTAAGTGAATATAAATAGAGATTAGTTAACATTTGATGAATTTTAAACGTTTATTTTTTGAGCAGGAAAAATGTTACTGAGAAAGTGAGAATCGTAGTACCTCATGATTATCACTGTTGGCATTTCTTATGTGGGCAATCTGTAATGGGCAGGGATCTCGATGGCAGATTCTGGAAAGTTCTTCTAAGCTTTTTGTTTTTCCCCAAGCATGATGAGTTTAAGTGGGAATAATTATTTACCCTGTAACATTGTAAAAGTTTATTATTTAGACAAAGTGATTATTGTAAAATTTGTAGTGTCTTAATCCTTATAGAGATATTTGTTTGAAAGCTTGTTTTGATGTGTGATGTTCAAATGTTTTGGTAATGATTGTTTTGATAATTTGAATCAATGCTTCTATTTTTTATGCATCAAGTATGTGAATTTAGTAGTAAATAGCCAAAGGCTGTATTGCAAAGGACGAGATCTGATGACTGTAGTGTAGGAATATGTGCATTAATTCTTCATGAAATTTCAATTTCAAAGGTCAGTAATTCTGCTTCATGTATAAAGGCTATTGGTGTGGAGTCCGGATCTAGTTCTACGTCTGGACTCAAATTATATTTTGACAAGTGTAGAGGACACGTGGATATTTAATTGGATTTCATTTTTTAGGTCATTTTATTTTTCATTGCCGCATTTCACTGCTCACAAAGTAAAAACGCAGTAAAAGGACAGTAAAAGTAAAAGCGCAACAAAATATCAGCAAAATTATAAAAGTGAAAGCGCAGCAAAATGGAAGTAAAAATATAGTAAATTTCACATTATAAATTTTTAAAAAAATTTCCTTACGAAATAGTGCAGTGAATATTCATGTGTTTAAATTTAATTGAAGTTCAAACGTAGAACTACGTCCGGGCTTTGCACCAAAGAATTTCTTCTCATTCACTGCCTATTTTTGGTCATCTTTGTGCCCGGTTCGATTTTTTTTTTTCTCATTTTAGCTCATTGATTTATGTACTTAACAACAAAACGAAAACTATTATTTTATTCACATACCATTGAAGGTTTTAGATAACATAAAAAATCATCATTCTCACATATGTATTACCATATTGTAAATCTACTTATTGCAACACAGCTCATTTTGGCCTATTAGTTGAGAGATTAGGCTTTCAACTACGATGTCTTGGATTCGAATATTTGTGTATGCGTTGTGTGTGTGATTTTGCCTTAAATGGCCTAAATGTCCAAAAAAATATTCTACATATTGTCCGTCCTGTCAATCCACTTTCTAATGAGATCCTATTGTGATTCGTCTCGTTGATTTCTTTCTCAGCGATGCATCATCGGGACTCCGCTCCTCTTCTTCCTTGGCATTCACATTTCACAAGTCCTAGGTCAAATAAATTCTCTCTCTGGAAGAAAGTATCATAACTTCCTCGTCTCTTCCTTGCCACCGACATTGAAGTTTAGATGCTAGATATGTAATTATTTTAGTTTTAGAATTACACATATAAAATTTTGATATTTTTATTCCATCGAAAACTGAGACTCCCAATATAGACTATAGTGTCTAAGAAGTAAGAAGAGGTTGATTAGTGTATCTGATGTTTTAATTTTTGAACATATTTTAATTAAAATTGAGTAAGAATATCTTCACCTATTTTTTTAAATCTAAAAAAATACTTCTATTATTTCTCAGGTTATCTCCTTAGACCATCTCCAACCGTTCGGCAAACAGCCGAATGGAGGTCCTCAAACATCGCAACCGAACGTTATTTCTTCCGCCATTTCATCGCAGTTGAACAGTGCAACGCCAATATTGGCATCGCACTGTTCACTTGCGCCATTTCTTTCTCTCTACCGAACTCGTCTGAGAAATGCGCGAAAGAAATGAGCGAATATTTGGGGGCAAAATGACGTTCCACTGGAGATGAATAACATCTGTTTTTGATTTGACTGTATTTTGAAGTGAAAAATGAGAATTTCGGTTGGAGATGCCCTTATCGTCCTTCCTTCCGCAATAGGACAGTTCCAATAGAACGTAATCTGATTTTTCTATTAATAACCAAAACTCAAAAGTGGAACGAAAAAAACAAAGGAAAAATTATCTCAGTTATTTTAACACATTTTCTACGCATTAGAAGCTGAAATATGTGTTGTTAGTAAGAATTTGTTTTTAATTGACGCAAAAATTCAAAAAGAAATTCAAAAATGGCATGGCTGTAGTGTAATTATTATCATTAGAAAGTATTTTGTTGTAGAATTCAAAATAAAAAAATTAAAACAGTTCGGTAAATAACATAAAATTCGTAAAAAAATAGAATAATTTACACCTGAAAAAGATTTGAAGCATAAAATTAATGTAAAATAATTAAGTGCAATTCAAAATCATATAAAATTTTGGTTATTTTCTCACTTCTCCCTTTCTGTAATTTAAATTTTTTATCTGTTTTTATTTTATTTTATTTTATTTATTGGGCAACATATTATTTCTTTAAAAAATGGCAATGAGTGTAAAATTAATGTGAGCGGTCGGTTTCCCTGTTCTACTTCGGGTTCTCCACTACTTTCTATTGGTATGAGAGGAAGTCATCAGTCGGAAAATGTAGCTCTACCTGTACAGAAGATTGTTGTTAACTTTTGGAGATTTAGGTAAACCTGAAACTACGTAAATCAACGGCCTCAGCTTCATAATATGTGTCTCCTTCCAAGTAGATTGTTGTAGGGTTTTCTGGAAAATGGGATACAGGGACTGAATCTGGAATAGCAAGAAGAAATTTTGCCAACTTGTTCGAGATGACGAGCTGCCAGTTCGTTAAGTTTATGGACCAAAATTTCTCTCAAATCTTGGTAAGCAGCTCCAATGCTGCTCTCTCTCTCTCTTCCTCCCTCAGTTTACATTTTCTGAATTAGGGTTCACAAATGCATCTAACTTCCAGTTCACCTTTTTGCTTCTGTAAAGCTAACAAGGACGGCGTTTTATATTTTAATGCAAATCTCTTGAGTAATTGATATACTGTTTGTCCATTTCATTTAGCAGGATTATCATTTTGTGTCTGATCTATGGTGAGCTAAAGGCTTTGGTAGAGATGGGAATTTACTCTTAATATCAATGCCACTCTTCTTTATGTGTAAAAGTTCACCTCTCATATTGTCAATGGCCGAAAAAACCGCATTTTTCCTAAAATTATTAAGAAATACAGAAGGGAAATTCAGGATGTAGAGCTGATATAGTTCTGAATAGTAGAATTTATTTGATGTATATAAAAAGAAAAATAATGGAGGGAGAAAAGGTAGCAATGACTGAGTTCTTATGGTTGGCAATCGATGCCTCTTCATTACTACCATTGATAAGAGTGATGGTGAGGTGAGGGAGGGGTTGAGAAGAATGAGAGGGTGGACAAAAACTTGTTAGCTATTTATAAAATAAATGCTATAACATGTTTATAAGTGCCAAATGATCTCAAATAACCAAAACGAATTGATGGATTACAAGAAAAATAGAAAGGATCTTGCAGCATAAATTTAGGAACTAGAACCATGAAATGGGCATTGTAGGATTGACACCCTTTCGACAGTTCATCGTGGTCGACTAATTAAATAAAACTGCACTCATAACAAATTAAATAATATGAATATATTATACAAAATGATGTGCACTATTGTTTAATATTGCAACCCCTTTTTTTTTGGGTTTGAACTTTGAAGCACCAAACCAATGTCAAATCAAGTTTAATTAAACACGAGAAAAGTCGCTTGGGACGAAATGGTTGGACTGGTTCAAATCAATATGAATCTACAAAAATAATTTAGGATATTTAACTATTTATTTTAGAAATGAATATAAGTAAAAACTTAAGCTGGTATGTATCACTGGGAACTTGATAAAAAAACTGTTCCAAATTATGAGAAGTTTGGTTAACCAAACAACAGAACTGAATGACAACTCTTGGTAATTTGCTATATGAGTTGAAATCCAATATGCAGAATGAACTCAAGATATATAGAAATATAGGAGCTTAATTCGTCATTATCTTGTCAAAGATATAACTTTTTTTGCGAGAGCAATGGCAAGGGTTCTGCAACTGAGCCTGATTGATGGAATAGAGCTTATTAGTTTTTTTTTATTTGTAACAGATGTTAATCCCGAAAACATTAATAAAATTACATTAAAACATTGTTTGAATTTATGGATAGCTTTAAATTTGGACCCAACGAAGTACAATTGTAATAAAATATAGGTAATTGTTTAATAGATAAAATATATTCTTATTTGTTCCTCTTAATTCAATTGTTGTATGTGCGCTTCAAAAATTCACGCCCCGGACTCTCCGTTGCCCCTTTCTTTCTTCTGGATCATCGTGGAGAGTTTCAATGTTTAAGTTCTGAGGCAAATTTTCAGAAGGTAGACTGCGTTTTGAATAAGACATTACTCAGAGATTTTGCCCTCATTTTGCGAGGATTTTATGATTTGAGTTCAGGTTTTCTATAGGGGCAAGTCCTTATAGTTAATTATACATCTCATAGCAAGAGAACTAATTTAAGAAGAACTGCCTTCTAAAAGGTCATACAATCAGTTAGAACAAATTGTTTGACTACCCTTATGGTTCACTCTTGCATTACTTGTTAAGTAACGTTGATTTTAGCTCTTGCTTATAAATGTGGGCTCCGAAAAATTCCAATTTTGGGGTGTGTGATCCCGGAGGAATTTTCAGAAGGCAGATTGGGTTTGTAGATAAGACACTACCCAGAGATTTCGCCCTCATTTGGTGAGGACTTTTTTATCTGAGTTCTGGTTTCCTATAGGCGCAAGCCCCTATAGTTAATTACCCCTCCCAATAATAGGAGAGAACTTTCGATTAAGGCTAGTCATTTAAAGGGGTCGAATAGGTTATAAACCTATCGTATAAGGATTTTAAAAAATTGGCTGAAGTGATCACTTTAGAGGGTCCAAGTGGCAACTGTTGGCTGGTCAGATTATCACAGATAGCGGGCCATGTATATCTTAAAGAGGGATGGAAGGAATTTGTTGAAGCTCATCATGTTGAAGAAGGTGACTGCTTGGTTTTTGAATATTGTGGGAGTTCACGCTTTAGTGTTCTAATATTTGACAGAAGCGGTTGTGAGAGAGAAGCTTCATACTTCGTTAGAATCATGAATCCTATACCTACAAAAGAATGTCAGGCAGAGGAAAAACACGAAAGGCAACTCTCTGATGTTTTAAAATTTTCTTCACCACGATTTCCTTGTGATGATAATTCATCCCTGCAAGTGGTTTCAGATGATGAAAAAAGCTCTTTGTTCAAAGGAAAATTTGATCGCAGAAGGTTTCGTGCTAGATCATGTGCACCCAATAACAAAACTAATTGTGGTGAGCTCTCCTTCATGTCCTGCTTTAGCTACACTTCTTAATTTAATGAAAAGTTTACTGTTTATTATGGATGTGTTCAGAATAACTATCACAAAGCATTTCATTTTTGGGAGCATTATATAATATTCAAATTGGATTAGGATGCGCTCACAAATTTGACATGTGATTTTTCTATTATATTTAAATGACATGAAATCACATAATTTCAATTTGCAGGAAATTTAAAAATAATGAAGGTATTTGCTGTATCAAGACATTAGACGTAATAATGTAACAATTACATAGAATACAATAACAACAATAACAAGCCTTTATCCCACTAGGTGGGGTTGGCTACATGAATCATTTTTCTCCATTGTGTCCGGTTAAGAGTTAAATTCTAATCTAAATCTATTAAAGAAATGTCAATTCTAATATTTTCTAATCAAGTCTTTTTAGATCTACCTCCATCTTTCTTAACATAACTCAAATCTAATGTATTTACTTTCCTAACCGGGTCATCGGAAGGCCATCGTTTTATGTGACCCAACCATCTAAGGCAACTCTCTCTAATCTTATCTTCCACTAGAGCTACTCCAACCTTTTCACGTATATGCTCATTTCGTATCCTGTCTCTAAGAGTAAAGCCACTCATCCACTTAAGCATTGTCATTTATGTAACACTTAACTTAATATTATGCTTCTCTTTTAGTGGCCAACATTCTGCATCATAAAGCATTGCAGGTCTTACTACCATCTCATAGAATTTTCCCTTAAGTTTGAGAGGGACTTTTCTATCACACAACAGGCCCGATGCATTCCTCCACTTCAATGATCCAACTTGAATTCTACCAATAATATCCCCATCTATTGCACCATCACTCTGAACAATAGGCCCAAGTTATCTAAAACGTGTACTCTTATTAATAACTTGATTGCCCAAAGTCACAATCCCCCACTAGATCTAATATTACTAAAATTACACTCTATATATTTAGTTTTAGATCTACTCACACGAAAGCCTTTAGACTCTAAGGTAGACCTCTATAAATCAAGTTTTCCTTCAACTCCCTCTCTAGTTTTATCAACAAGAAGAATATCATCAGCAAAAGCATACACCAATATATAACCGCTTGCAAATGTCTAGTGAGAACATCCATGACTAAAGCAAAAAGATATGGGGTTAAGGCTGATCCTTGATGTAATTCAACTGAAATAAGAAAATACTTAGTCAAACCACCTTGTGTTTGAACATATGCAACAATTCCTGCATACATATCCTTAATGACTTGAATACAAGCATTATCAACCCTTTTCTTATGTAGAACTCTCTATAGCACTTCTCTTGGAATTTTATCATATGCTTTCTCTAAATCAATAAAAATCATATGTAGATCCTCCCTATTCTCTTTATACTTCTCCATCAAACCTCTTAGTAAATGTATAGCTTCCATAGTAGACCTACCTGACATGAATCCAAATTGATTTTGATAAACATTAGTTTCATGTCACAACCTATGCTCCATAAGTCTCTCCCGTTGTTTTAAAGTATAACACATTAACTTAATTCTTTTATAATTTGCACAATTTTGTGCATCACCTTTATTCTTAAAAGTAGGAATCAACACACTCATTCTCCACTCATTTACCATCTTTTTACTCTTCAAAATAATATTATAAAGTTTAGTAAGCCAAAAAAATTCCTTCATCTCCTAAGCATTTCTACACCTCTATTGGAATATCATAAGGTCCTACAGCTTTTCCACACTTCTTTTTTATTTAAAGTCTCTTTAACTTCGATTTTACTAATATGCCAATTAAAATAAAAATCTTTATTTTCATTTAAGATGCTAAGGTCATTAAAGTCAATTGCATTCTTATAATCTTCATTGAAAAGTTTAACTAAATATCTCATCCACCTTTGTTGAATATTCTCTTCTAATAAAAATACTTTTTGATCTTCATCCTTAATACACTTCTGTTGAACTAAATCTTTACTACTCTTATCTCTTTATTTAGCTAATTATATATATATATATATATATATA